CTTCCTTTTCCTTTGCATGCAACAGGGAGAGATGGTGGCTTCTTTCCTGCACAAGGATAATTTCCAATGCACCTTTCAATTTAGTCAGGCAGTGACCTTGGTCTCTAAATGCTTTGTACCCAGACATGCCTCATGCCTCCTAAAAATGTGGGTTTTTTAAATTTCCTTACCCTTCCACTTTGCTCACGGAGGGGGACCACTCTGGCTGGTGCTTCTTTCCTTATCAAGGCAGTGGCTGTACCACTGGGGAGTTCTTCCTTATTTTATTATATCCAACCTCCTGAATCCCCAATCTGCTTAGAATGTCCATTTTTAAATTCCAGTAAAGATCCCCTCCCCCGCTATTTTTTGTTCTCCCACCTTGCTGAGAGGCTGCCTGTCTGCTTTCTTGGTTTCATGCTGTGGAACAGCCAGGAAAGTGACTTCCTCTATTCCATCATCTTGAGAAACCCTATAAGTTAGTTGTACAGCATTTTACCTGCTTGACACTGGGATAGAGGAGCGGGGTTAAGAGGGAATAATGAGCACTACAGCCATCTGTGTGGCCAAATCTCTGACTCAGGAGCTCTGGCCACTGTAAGTCCTGTCTAAAAGCTCTAATAGTGGAGGGATCAAAATCTCAGCACTCATAACCCCTTTTTGGTATATCAGTTGGGACATATCAATAAGGGATCAAGTCCAAGCCTAGCCTTTTAGTCCATGGCTAAAAGGCTAGGAAAACAATAAATGCCCAGGAACAAAACTCAGAGTAAGGTCAACTCTAGCTCTGGGGCAATAGCCATTGTTGATTTGGTCAGAAGGTGAACAAGCATAGGTTTGTTGTGATCTTTGCCCCAACCTGGGAACAATGATAGGGATCACTATATATTTTTGATAACAAAAAGAGATAGGATAAACAAAATGGAATGATTAATGGAAAATGAATTCTAGCATGTAAGGTCTTGTACCAGGTAATTAATGAAGACAAAGGGTCAAATGTTAGGCGTGGTGGGAATTGGTGTATTATTAATTTATTAATTTGTTCGCTAAATATTTCTGAAGCAGTTGTTTGGTGCTAAACACTAAGGAAGAGATGAAAGACATTATCCATCCCTAAACAGATGAGAGAAGCAAACGTTTGCATTAGAATATGGCAGATACCATGGAGGAAGGCAGTACAGGTCACTCTGGGAGACCAGAGGAGGGCACTTAAGCCAACCTTGGGAAAGAAGGTGGACACTTCCTAAAGGAAGGTGCACTTCCTAAAGGAAATGATGCTCAGGCTGGATCTTAAAGGTAAATGAGAGTTGGTTAAGTAGGAAAATGAGGAGAAGGGCATTCCAAGCAAAAGGAAGTGTGTTCAGAGATACACAGGCAGGCATCAGGGCATGCACTTCTACAAAAGCCAGCTGTTTATTTCCTAGGCTGTTTGTAGGGGTGATGGGAATCGAAGTTGAAGGGGAAATTAGATATCAGATGGAGAAGAGCCCTCAATGCCATGCTGAGGCATTTTACTCCAAGGGTGTAGAAGCCACAGAATGGTTTAAGTAGGCATGAGATGTGCCTGGATCTGGATTTAGAAGTTCTTTCTGGTAGTAATAGGGAGAAGAGCTGAGCAAAGATAGAGCAGGGAGCCTGACTTTTAATGCAGACTACCCTGTAGCCCTCCCATCTGTCTGTATTGTCCTTTTTTCTCTATAAAATCTGTCATACACTCTTCCCTGTCTTACTCAACTTGAGTTCTCTAATTTTAGTCAGGTTGATTCAACTTACCTGAACATAACATGTTCATTCCCACCTCTGATCTTGTTCATTCAATGAACGTTTTACAGCCACAGTACCCAGGCGTGGGAGAACCAGAGACAAATAAAACATGGAACCCTCCTTTAAGGAGCTTATAGACTATGAGGAAGACAGCATGGAGACCCATGATTCCCGTGGCCTGGGACAGTGGCTGTGGTGTGGAATGAACATAGAGCACCCTAGACACAAAGAGAAGAGAATCCTGTCTGTGAGAAACCTTCCTCCTCCTCCTCCTCCTGCTCACAAAATGCTCCCCATCTTCAGGCCTCTGCCTGCACTCTGGCAGAGTATAATGGTTTGGAGCTTGAGCTCTATAGCCAGACAACAGGTTAATCCTAATTCTCCCATTTTAGAGTTATGTGACTTTTACCAGAAATTCTTGTGCCTCGGTTTCTTCTCCTGTAAAATGGGTCTGATGGCTACACCAGTTTCATGGGGTTATGGTGAGGATTAAAGGAAATAGTATGCATAAAAGGCTTGAAGATGGTTTGGGGCATGTGAAAAAATATTCAATAATTATTGACTATCAAAAACTGTTTTTAGTTTTTACTCATTTTCTGTCCAGCCCCAATGTCATGTGAAGAAACTTTAACCACTAATGATCCCTTACTATTTGCTTGCCCCTTCTGATGTGTTGTCATGTGCCTGAGGAATGATCTTCTTTTATGGCAGAATACAATTCATATACATCTGTACTCCTGAGATAAGTACGGCACTGGGTGTGAATTAAGATGGATAGCAACTCAGGGGATTTCTGGGACACTTTTTGTGTTAAAACTAGGAATGTCCTAGGCCTTTTATGCAGTGAGCACTTGGTTTTACTTTTTTTTTTTAATGGTCCTAAACCTAACTTGTAAGAAAGCTTACTTTCTAAGCTTTGCCACAAATTTGTGTTTATTGTTTAGAAAATATTAAGTTGTGATCCCAAAAAAGGGGATTCATGGGATTTCCTAGGACTTAGGTAGAAGATTTGAGGGCTTTATGAACTTTATGAAACACAATCTCTCTCATGAATATAAAGGTCTATTTACTAGAAATTGATTCCAATCCTATAAGAGCCTTTTGTAACTTGGCCCACTGCCCCCAAAGCCTCCCCTGTCTGTCACTGCCCATCTCACACTGCGTTTCCCTCATAACTCTGAATCAGACTTCCTTAATTTGTTTTCCAGAATTGCCATTCTTTAACTCAGTGGGGTTTAACCCCACCCCCACCCTTCTCAGCTTCCTTCCACGTAGCAGCTCCAGTTAAACATGAATTTTCCAGTTGGGGCCATATGATTTTTCCTCCTTTCAGCTCTATCTTACCAGAACTGGGATAGCATTTACCCTGGGCAATTGCTTTCAGTAAGCATTCTTTAAGGATCCCCTGGGCCTCCCTGGGAATTCTTAAAAGCCAAGATGAATATTTGCTGACGGCCTCCCTAGCTTCATGATCCGTGTAAGACCAACAGAGAGTCTGGGTCATCAGCCTCCCAACGGCTCAACCCCAGCGTATTAGTTCCCGACAGCTGCCATGTCAAAGCACCACACACTGCCTGACAACAGAAATTTGTCTTCTCATAGTTTTAGAGGGTAGAAGTCCAAGCTCAGTGTATGAGCAGGATTGGTTCTTAAGAGCCTGAGAGAGAAATCTTCCTTTCTCTTCCACAGCCAATGGCCTTCCTTGATTTGTAGCTACAACCACTAATCTCTGCCTTTGTCTTCACATGGTGTTCTCCCTACATGCCTCTGTCTTCATGTGATGCTCTTTTTCTCTCCATCTACCTCAAATGGGGATAGACTCAGGGCCTTACACATGCTAGGCAAGTGCTCTATCACTGAGTCACAGCCTAGCCCTTTTAATCTCATTTTGAGACAGGGTCTTGCTAAGTTGTCCAAGGTGACATGTTGTTTTGGTCTTAGGGTTTTTGTTTGTTTTTTTTTAAGTAAGGAAACTAGTCACATTGGATTAAGGGCCCATCTTCCTCTAGTATGGTTTGATTTTAATGTAACTAATTACATCTGAAATGATCCTGTTTTCCAATAAGGCCACATTCTGAGATATTGAGGATCAGGAGTTTAACATGGATTTTGGGGAAACACAATCCAGTCTTGAACACCCAGATCTTCAGGGGAATCCTGTAAAATTCCATGAAGACATGAAAGTCTTACATGGTTTATGAGTATCATAAACCCATTTCCATTCTCCACTCACTGTGTGTTTGAGACTGACAGTTTCTGCTTCCGGATCCACAGTAAACACCACTACAGAACACTATGCTGGCTTGAAAGACTTTCAGAAATATATGTACACCTGAATCATTGGGATGACATCCGGATATGTCGGGCCTTTTCTTAAAAAACTGCTGAGGAAAAGTGTATTCATGGCCTATAATGTAATAACTGTTATAAAGTCAATGACTCCCATCCTGGTGAATAATAATTATAAGTTGGGTGCATTTTGAAATACTCTGGGGGTTGGAGGAGTGTGTGTGTGTGTGTGTGTGTGTGTGTGTGTGTGTATCTGTGGTGCAAGCATGCATATGAAGCAGTAGCTCTTGATAAACAAAATCACCAGATTCCGCCACTCCCACCCACCTCCCCAGCTTTCCTTCAAACAGCCTTAGCTGAGGCACAGGGAGTAGCCTGCTTCTGCTCTCCCCAGCTCAGGCTGCTTCCTTCTGTTAGTTCCTTAGAGTGGCTGACCCTTCCCTCCAGAGAGATAGCTCCCTTCCAAAAGATAAACACCCATAGTTACAGGGAACTAGGCGGGGAGGCAAAGCAAGTCTGCTAGTTAGTGTTTTTATGGTGTTCTCACATAGAAACACAGACCATCTCTGTGGATGCGCTATTTCTGACTCTGGAGATACAGCCTGAGATGTGAGGCAAATGATGGGGCTCAGGGAGAGGAGGGAGTAAGGAGCAGGAAGGATGTGGAGATTCTCACAGGTCTCCCCGCTTCTCTGCAGAGACTTTGCACCTCTGAGAAATCCCAGAGGTGGCTGAGGCCCCTAGCTAGTGCCCACTGTGCGGAGCAGCCCCACACAAGCTGCTTGCCTGCTGCAGGGCCCCGTGCCAGCTCCGCGCACAGCGTCTTGGTGCCAGATCAGGGAGCTGTCGGCTCGGCGCCTCCGCTCTCTGCTCCCGCTCACTCAGGGAGCCCCTGGGTGGGCTGTAGGAAGGCGCGAAGCTTGTTTCCTGACTGCAAGTTGACTTTGCCTCACTGTTGTTGCTGGCAGAACACATACACCAATGCGGACAAGCTCCTAGAAGCTGCGGAGCAGTTGGCTCAGACAGGGGAATGTGACCCAGAGGAGATCTATAAGGCAGCTCGACACCTGGAGGTGCGCATCCAAGACTTCGTGCGCAGGGTGGAGCAGCGGAAGCTTCTCCTGGACATGTCCGTCTCCTTTCACACACACACCAAAGAGGTAAGGGGTATGGGGCTCTCGGCCCTGGCAGGGGTCAAGTGGTGTTCCTAGTAATAGGTCTGACCAGGGTCCTGGTTGGGCTAGGAGTTATCAGCCTCCAACCTTGGTGATATTAACAATTTGTTTCTGATAACCTGCATTTAGGTTCTTACCAAATGGGGCAAAATTTCCTCTCATCATCTCTGGAGTGGGAGGGCAGTACAAGCATTAGTTTCAGGGGTCTGGTGGAGCATTCAGTCTGCAGCTGGAGAAATTTGGAGATCCCTAGTAGAGAAATAGTCACTGCAGAAGGAGATGAAAGGGGAACACAAGCATTCTGTCCACTCCACACCCATTTCTCTTGGTTGCTATTTCCTGTCATAAATCAGCCTCATAGGACTTTAACCAGGTATCTTTGCTACCAGCATGGAGCATACAAAGTTTACAAGTGTGTTCTATTTTATTGATTTTTAAAATTGGGAATTTAGGCTTCTTCTTGAGGTCTGCAGCAAGTGGGTATTAAAGTTGATGCTTACTTTGCTTGGATATGGAGTGATAGGCAATGAAGGAAGTGTGGCTGAGGGGTCCTCCATGTAGGCGGAGGCAAACAGGGCTTAAATCCCGGGCAGAATCATTCTCCAAGTGGAAAAAGGAGAGGGAAGGATGTATTACATGAAGGGGCCGGAGGTCAGAAGAGCACCCTACAGAGGAGGAGGGTGGCAATCATGTGATTGCTTTTCATTTCTAACAGGGGATATTCTGAAATTGAGTAAGCATCCAGGAAGGAGGCCCATTTAGCATCTCCTGCAATAACAACCTTGGCAGAGGAATTCATTTGGTGTATGCATGCTTGTGTTCCCTCAGGAATTCATTTTAATGGAGTATTAATTAAAGTTTGATTGCTGCTCAGGAAAAAAAAGTTAACCCTACTTAATTAAGTTGATTTTTGATATTGGGAATGCATTAAGAAGCCTGGATGTTACTACTTCACAGGCTTTTCTGACACTTTGTGGGAACAAATGAGAATCATTGTGGTGACTATCAGAGAAAAACATGAAAGGATAATGTTTTCTAAACTGAGATTCCCCAGGCAGATGAAGGGCTGGCGAGCTCCCTGAAGCTGGCTCAGCTTCCTCTCCGGTGGAACCTACAGCCCCTCTATGATGAGTGCCTGTAAAGCAAGGAGATTAGCTTTAATCCAGAGCTTCCTGCCTGGTTGTCTGCTTGCTTGTGGTTCACTTGAGTTTTAATGATGGTCTCAGAAACCAAAGGCATGTGGGTCCTCTTTTAATTACAAGTCGTGGATGAGCAAATGCAGCATGAATAAACAGGAGTCACGCTCCTCATGGGGGTGTGGGGTGAAGCTCCATGAAGAAGTGGTGGACAAGATCCATGTTTGTGGAAATACCACTCCCAAATGGTGACCCTAGCTTTCAGGATACCCATCTAGGTACATTCACCTTTTGTACATGGAACCTGAAAGTTGAGGTTCTATCCATATAATACTGCCAAAAAACATATAAGCTTGTACAAGTCACTTTGACTCTGACCCTGGGTTTCATTTATAAAATGATGCAGTCAGACTTGGTACCCTAAGGCCCTTTACAGTTCTAATATACCCAAGACTCCTTTCTTCTTCTTTATTTGATGTCGATAATTAATAATAATTATAATGAAGCATGAAGTAGTAGAGATGATTCACATAGTCTAAGATTTGACTAAGAACTCTACATGTATTAGATGACATTTCTTTTTGGGGGGATGGGGGTTGAGGGGAGGGTACCAGGGATTGAACTCAGGGCACCACTGAGCCACATCCCCAGCCCTATTTTGTATTTTGTTTAGAGACAGAGTTTCGCTGAGTTGCTTAGTGCCACACTTTTGTGGAGGCTAGCTTTGAACTCACAATCTTCCTGTCTCAGTCTCCTGAGCCACTGGGATTACAGGCACGCACCACCACACCAGATGACATTTCCTTTTAATTGAGTACCTACTAATTGTCATACACATATGTCATCTCAGGTGATCTTTATGATAATTTTATGGTATAGATTTTATTAAACACACTTTCAAATAGGGAATTTTCAGAAAATAACTTGTCTAAGGATACAGAGTTTCTCAGTAGTGGAACTGAGAATTTTATCTATCTTCTTAAATACAAAGTTTGGATTGGGGAAGCATTTTGGATTTCAGGATTTTGGATTAGGGATGCTCAGCTTGCACACACCTGTACTCCTAACTGCTGGCTGTGCCCTTGTCCTTGTTTGTACCGTGTCTCCCCTCCTTTGCTCTTGCTTCTCCTTGCTCTTCTTTTCCATTTTTAGAGGAACTTGATAGGGAGGTAGATCTTGGCTAAGAAACATAAAATGTTGCCAGGGCCCCTGGACAATGGGAAGCTAGTAGTCTCTCCTAAGAAAAAGAAAAGGAGCAGGGAGAAGAAACGAGAGGAAGCCCCCATTCTACAACATCTTTCATCTATCCCAGTGCTTTGTCCCCAACTCTGAGGAGGATGAAAACAAATGAGATGGGGTCAGGAGTCTGAATCACCAAAAGAAGCCTTCCCTGGGCTCTGCACAGCAGGCAGAAGTGGATTATTAGTGGGCAGAAGTGGCCTCCTTCAGTGCTCTGATGAAAGAACTCCTGTGGTTTGATTTTCCATATTCTGTTTAATACCATTCAAGACTCACCACCTCTCAAACCTAGCTAAGCATGGGTCCTCTTTGATGCTGGGACCTTTAACTATGGACTCCTTCCTCTTGGCTCTAGGCAAACCTCTGGGTTTTCATTTAAGGCAGAATTAGCAGACACATGTACTGTTCTAGAAATCTGTCAGGGAATTCTGAGTTGCTGCAGTTGTTTTCTCCTTCTCCAGTAAATAGAGCGAATGGAAGAAAAATCTGCTCAGCTTTGATAAAGTGGCATTGAATATTGCTGATAAACATTGTTATAGATCCTACCTGCCTAATTATGAATGGCTCTTTTCTTCTTCCCTCTTTTCTTTCTTCCTGCAATAATTTTCTGGGTTCCTACAATATTTGCTGGGTTCCTACAATAAATGCCAATTTGTAATAGAATGTCATCATAGGATATGATTTTCTTGGAATGAAGGCCCCCTTTACAGTACATTTCTGTGTGGGACCCAAACATTCATTTTCATAATGGCTTAACCTAGACTTCCTATGATTCCCCTGGCTGAAGTTCAAAATTTTACTTTTTCCCACTTTCCACATCAAAAGGTTGACTCTAATTAGGATCAGAGAGGAAACAGAAGGAAAATATGAAAATCATTTCATCTGCAAATTAAAGACTCTGCTTTATCCTGTTGACTTTACTTTTTGAATTCTTTGTGACCTCAGGAGTATGAAAGGTTAAACCCATTGAGTAATTTTATTACAGTGCTATTAATAATCTTGAATGATTAGAGACCATCTAACTGTTCCTCATTGGATAGAACATATAGATGCAAATCTTAGTGTGTCTGTGTAGTGAAATATTACACAGTCATTATAAACCATATGGCCAGAGTCATTAATGACACAAGGAAGGGTTATAGCATACAGTACTTAAACCATATATCTAGCATGGTGGCAATTTGGATCACACACATAGAATAAAGATTTGAAGTAATAAACAAGAAGAATGAATTTTTAAGAATATTTTTCTGTTTAATAAGTTTTTTCAATGTTATTTTCAACATAATCAGGAAAAAACCTAATAAATGATATTTTCCAAAATCATTTTTTTTTTTTGCAGTGCTGGGGATCCAACCCAAGGCCTTACACATGCTAAGTGAGTGCTCTGCTATTGAGCTGTACCCTCTAGCCCTTCCAAAACAAACTTTATATCCCTACTTAGAGAGAAGAACTACCTGATGCAGAGGGGAAACAAACAAGTGCTTGGGATCTTATGCAGCCAGAGCCTCAGCTATTAGCACAAATTGTGCTAAACTTTTTTTTTTGTGTGTGTGTGTGTGTGTATGTGTGTGTGTACTTTTAAACCTGGGGCCAAGAGGGCAGCTGGCTTTTGCTGGTCTGGAGAGCTAGGAAAGGTGTAGGGAAAAGCAATGACCTCAGACTTCATTCTCTTTGTCCAGGGACAGGGAATTTGTAGCATGTGTCATCTGTTCTGCAGAGATTACCCAAACAGAATTCTCTTTCTTGGCTGTGTTTCCATGGAAATGCTGCAGTCCCTGGGATTTCAAAATATCAGTTTTTAGATATTTTTGTAGTAAGAAGGTGAGAGTCAAAGGAAGTAATGTAGCCAAAGTAACCAACGTCAGCTCTTAATTAGTTTTATTAAATGCCCACTTCCATTTGTTTCTCACCCTGTGTCATTCTGCCACACCATCAACTGTTCATAAGCACATGCATATACACGTACACACACAGGACCATGCACACACCCATAAACACCAGAAGCACTCCCATATACATATGTTCCTCTACCCACCCACCCCAGAATCAGAACTAAATCATCTTCAAAAATGATGATGCCCTCAAGAACAAAATAACTTCATTCTCTATTTAAATTGCCAAACTGTTGTGGTATTTATTTAAAAAATAAAAGCTGGTGGTCAATGCCAAAGAAAAATGCTCTCTTCAAAATGAGAGTGGAAGTTTACCCTATGGGAATGACACTCCTTCCTGTACCCTTAAAGGCCAGTCAACTGTACCAGCTCATTGACTACTAGAGTGTGAAAATGCCAATCAGCAGGAGAAGTGAAGAAGTAAATAACTTCTTCCCTCAACCATTCATCCATAAAACACACTATTTCTACAGAACTTCTAGTGTCTCCCTTGCTTATCTATTTCCTTCCTCCTGCTTTTTTAGGTCTCCCTTTTCTTTGGCTGTCCAGCTATGCAGGATAGCATGGGGGGTGTGGACTGTCCCTTCAGGACCTCACTGGTTTCACCATTAGGCCTAACCTGAAGACATGAATTGGTATCAACATTCTTTATATACAACCAGAGATATGAAAACTTGTGCTGTATATGTGTAATATAAATTGTAATGCATTTTGCTATCATTTATTTTTAAAAAATTGATAAAAAAAAGAGATTACTAAAGGCTCCCTTAACTCCAAATTAGACTCATTCTTTTGCATGTAGTTCTTTGGGACACAACTACATGTGTTCTGAGAGAAATAATACACAAAGCATGAACCACATATACTTGCCAAGTAGGGAGAAGGACCCTGAAAAAATGGGTCACAGTACAGATCCATTTTGATCAAGAAACAGGGTCTGGAAATGACTGGACTATGGGATTCTTTCTGGGGAGAGGCAGATGGATGGAGGAGATACAGTGCTAACATGTTATACCCTAGATAAATGGAGGGTAAAGAGGGTTCCTCAAGGAGAGAAAAATAAAATAGATGACAGAAAGGAAAAAACACATAAAGGTCACTACTGCCCTGATTTTACCTAATATGTTCTGGCAATCACTGGCTTATAGAAGCTTGATGTAAAAACTTTTTTTGCTAGATCTCATCATTGGTTATCTGATAATAAGCAAATGAGTAATGATATTTTCTCTGTTATCTGTACTTTTTTACAAAGCAATCTAGGTATGCTTATCAGGGCCCATGTAGAGGAGACCTGTAGACATTCAGATAGTAGGAAAATTTCAGTTTAAGGAATGAAATATCATCCCTTACCCATGGTTTAGCAATACGAGTGTTTATTTCTGACTACATTATGGTGTTGTACTAAGTCTAAGAGGTGCTTATTCAAAATTATGAGCTTGTAATTTAAGTTTGCTCCTACCTGCCAGTGACTGTGTGCACATGGTCACATGGGATTTCTAGTGTCTGTCTCTGTCTCTCTCTGTCTCTCTCTGTCTCTCTCTCTCTCTCTCTCTCTCTCTCTCTCTCTTCTGAAGCTTTCCAGGTTTTAAGTAGTACCTTAACTTGGTATCACAATTGTCTACAAACTGCTGCTAAACTCTCTGAACTTTGGATGTCTTGGTGTCAAAGCCATGTCTGCCATTTTTCATACCTTCTGACTTTCTACCAATTTTTTATCCACTGGCTTTTATGCTGGAAGGGCCCTGAGTTTATCTTTCTTGCAAGCCAGGTAAAAACTCTTGGTTTCAAAGTAGATGCTATGCTCATCTTCCACTCCCTTGTATATGGAAATAATCAACATAATAGTCAAAAGTGGATCCCTGTTAAAAGCCACTGGAGACCTATTTTCAGTATGTGGAAGAGCTATCAATAAATGAGTTTTCGGTAATTCAGCTCAACCCCTCATCACATCCAGTGCTCATTCTGCTCAAAACACTAAGACTTTAGCTCTTTTAAACTCTTCTGATCAGTAATATCCTGGTTGCATTTCATCTTCTTGAATATCGTGTGGAAGTATCTTATTCTTTTATTAAAATTAAGATAAACTGTATGGCATTCAGCTTTCTAAGCAACCATAGAAATCTTGAAAAGAACACAGTAGTTTAGCACAGATGATGCTACATTAATCTTGTTTTGATTCTTATTGAGCACCACCTTCTTTTTTGCACAATTTCTATGGATTAATGTCTAGTTGCATGGAAGAAGTATTCAGAACCCTTGCTTTTCTCCTTTCTGAAAGATAAAATAATATTTGTCCATTTGAGTCTTCTGTTTTTCTGAATCTCTAAAAGGTAAGGGATCTCCTTGCTTTGAGAGATCTGCAGGTTTCCATGAACCTCAGGGTGGTTCCTTTCCTTAAGGAGTGCCAACACCAGTGGAGTAAACCTGGCAAAGATGGGTAATGAACATAAGTAAGGAATCATAAACCAACCTACAGCATGCACAAGCACCCATAGGTGTGCTGATGAGGGCAGTCAGACTTTGCACACACTGGCTGAGGGTAGATGGGGTGACTCCAGTCCTGCTTGCTTGTCCTCGGGTGGGCCTGACCTCTCCCATCTGTCCTGAGTGGAGTCTGCTGTCTCTTCCACAGTTGTGGACATGGATGGAAGACCTGCAAAAGGAGATGCTGGAAGATGTCTGTGCGGACTCTGTGGATGCGGTCCAGGAACTGATCAAGCAGTTCCAGCAGCAGCAGACCGCCACTCTGGATGCCACTCTAAATGTCATCAAGGAAGGCGAAGACCTTATCCAGCAGCTCAGGTCAGCGCCTCCCTCCCTGGGGGAGCCCACCGAGGCCAGGTCAGCATGGGCAGTGCTTCCCAGTGGGAAATGCCTCGGGCTAGACACGAGATAAGTCATGTCCCAGTCTTGACTCAACCGCAGTCCACTTTGTGGTCTTGTGTGAGTTTCAGTTTCTTCATGTGTAAGTTATAAAAATGCCTGCACCACACCCAACTCGAGTTCTTACTGAAACAGTAAATGGAAAAGCTCTAATGTTTTAAAGTATTATTGATCCCTCAAGGTGGTATTTGGCAATTGATAAGGAACATAAATACAACAAAAATTCAACATAAATGAATATCTTCATTAAGAATTCTGATGTATTTGACCATGTGGAGAAATGGACATGTGGAATACAATGTTATTTGGCATCTGATCTTGGGCTGAATTCTGAACTCCTGGACCTACTGGTCACATTTGCTGTCATTTGGCTTTGGCTCCCTGAGGATGTGGAGAATGTGTGGTGATGGCCTACTTAGCTTGTTGTTACCACTTGTGACCCTTCCACTATCCCCTGCTACCTAGGAAATAAAACTCCTTTGTCAACTTAAACATACACAATCAAGAAGGGAAATCCTATCAAAAGTCGTACGTTCGTTTAGAATTGCCCACACTGTTGCCTCTTTTAAAAAATACTTTTTTAGTTGTAGATGGACACAATAACTTTATTTTATTCATTTATTTTTATATGGTGCTGAGGATCAAACCCAGCACCTCACACATACCAGATGAGTGCGCTTCCACTGAGCTGCAACCCCAACCCTGTTGCCTCTTTTTTATTGGCATCATTATCTAGTTCCTGCTCCTGTCGAGGGCATTGACTCCCCAGATAAAGTGTCTCAAGGCCTTGGGCAAGCCCTTAGCTAACAGCCCCTTGCCCAGGTGCTGTGTAAATAGGATTTGATGGTGTTAATGATGCCTGCCCTTGGGGACTTGTTCCTATCCCAAAATCACTGAGTTCTGGGACCTCTGCCAGCTAGAGACAGAAATAATCTCATCAACAAGTCCCAGACCAGCCTCGGTGCCTGAGGGAATTACTTTAGTTGGAGAGGGCTTTTCCCCCCATACCAGTTGTCCAATTAAATAAACAATGAGCAATTACCTTTAGAAGGCCCTGGCATGTTTTTCTGTTGAAAATTAATAATTTCTATTCTAAACATGCACATGAGATGTTCTGAATCCTCCTATTGCATACTAACAAGTCAGCCTCTTCCCCCAATTCATCTTCATGAATATATAATGCATGACAGTTTTGTCTGCCTACCCAGGAAACTCCACTGTCATTTGCTTTTAATGAAAATTCCAAATAGTAGGCAGTCACTTAACCTCTCAGGGCCTCAGCTTCTTTGTGTAATTAAGGGGTTCACTCTAGGAGCTCTGTCAGCTCTAAAATTTTGTGATGGCTTCGTGTTATTTCTTCACATACATCCCACTCTCTGTGGGCATGTGCTTGTGGAGACACCACATGCTCTTCACAACTGCCAACCTTGCAGAGTGCCTAAGGGCCAAGGCGGTCGGTGATGGTGAAAGCAGCAATGTGAGTGATGCCTATTCTGTAAGTTTTAAGTTCCATTGAGTTAGAACACCATAGGTGTGTGGCCAAAGGCACCAGTGACATTTACTCCTCCACTGGCCTAACTCTAGCCTGGGCTCCACTCCTAACCTCAAAACCAGTCAAAGAAGAAGAAGTAAATGGGGCTTGGTGGACATTGGCAGAATGCCTCACACACACCCGAGACAGGTCTTTTCTGGGTCTCCACTGTCCTTCTGATGACCTTCACTGAGTGCCTAAGGTGGTTTCTCATCATAACCAAGATTCCTAGTGAGTATGACACTGACATAGGTGCAGTATAACATTGTAGACGTTGTTCTCTCCTTCTGGAAGCTGAGTGATGGAGAAAGGCTGAGAGGATCAGTGAGAGAGAACAGTCAGATCATCCCAGCAGCCAAGCCCTCAACAAGTATATAATGAACAGTATCGCTACTTCTCTTGTGTTCTTCTTATGGTTGGGGGTATCCGTATAATAGTGGAGTAGGAACTGTGCTATTTCATGCACAAATTAGGCCAAGGCAAGGAGGTAGGAATTGGAAGGTCTCTGAATGATAGAAGGAAAGGTGCTTTACAAAATCTATCTTCAGGAACAGATAGATGCCATTTCTTCTCAGATGAGTGAGGACTAAAAGGACCTAGCTTCCAGAATACCTGCTAATGACAGAAGTCAAAGCTAATGAATTACACTTGCCCTCTGACTTCTTCAGCTGTTTAAGAAACCAATGTGTCACAAGATAGTGAATGTAGCACTCTACTTCAAGTTTTAGGACCCTAGCTAACTCAGGACCCTATAGGATCTAAGCTTTTTAAACTCTGTAGTTGTTCTCTGATGATTACCTCTTTGGAGGGCTCACTACCACCTCATTCCTAAGAGCAAGTTGGTCTCTCTATATTTTGGCTCCTTTCTCCCTACCACTTCTGTACAGACTGCTAAGAGTGCATACCCCTCTCACACACCTGTGGCCATCTGCTCCTTTACACCCCAAATCAAAACTTATCCTCCCCAAGACCTTTGTTGGTTATCCCAGCCCCTGTAACCTAGCCTTGACACTTCACTGTGTCCTTTCAGGATTAATACATACATCGTGTTCCTGGACACAGTCTCATGTAATGTCTTGTTTAGCAGCAAACTATGAAGTGAGTAGGGCAATGGTTATTAAGTCCGCTTTATAAGTAAGGCAGCTGCAGTTCAAGGAGGTGATTTCCTAGGGCCACAAGCCCATATATGTCAGAGTGGGAGCCTAATCCAGGTTTGCAGATGCCAGATCCCAGATCCCATGTTTTCTTAACTATAGCTTGAAGCCTGTTTAAGAACACCAGCCCACAACTTCAGCATAGCATTGTAAAGTAGGTGAATAATTTTGGCAGCCATGATGTCATCTTATTTTAACAATCCTGTGAGGTAAAGTTAGGAAGGTTTTTGTTTTTGTTTTTCATATGTCTTTGTCTGTTCTTATGTTATATGCATGTGCGTGTGTGTATTAAAGCTATATATCGTAGACTACACATATGTATGGAACCATTCCATTTCTCTAACATTTTATGCTCTGCAGCACCCTTTCCCATACTTTATTTCATTTGCTCCCTTTCACAGTTCCAAGAGCTAGTCTTTGAAATAGAGTTGTGAACCCAAATGATGATGATGTGTCTCCCCTCCTAAGCAGATAATGTCAGGCTCACTGTAGGAATTTGATAAATATCTGTTGTTTGAATGACTCACCAGATTCATATCTACCTTGCTCAGAGGAATCCTCCTCCTCCTCCTCTGTCTCTTTTAACATGCAAAATCTCTCTCTCCAATTTTCCCCTACTCTGCCACAGGGACTCAGCTGTGTCCAACAATAAGACGCCCCACAGTAGCTCCATCAGCCACATTGAGTCTGTCCTGCAGCAGCTGGATGATGCCCAGGTGCAGATGGAGGAGCTATTCCATGAGCGGAAAATCAAACTGGACATCTTCCTGCAGCTGCGCATCTTTGAGCAATATACCATTGAGGTAGGTGGAAGAGGGAGTATAAAGAGGCAGGCCAAGGACAGTGCTTCCAACCACAGGGTAGTAGCCTAGGGAATTTGAGGGAATTATGTATCAAGATGCCTTTTTGGAAGTGAAGAAATTCATGTTCCATGTGATATATTTCTTTCAGTCCTTCTCATCCCCTCTGCCGAGCAGAATCTCTCTGTTTTATTTTTTGTCTGTGGATTACTTCATTAGGAAGTTTTTGCTGCTGATCATTGGACTCTTATTTTGTATTTTGCTTCCTGAAACATCATGGAGTCAGCTTTGGGTTCTTGAATTCGTCATTGAATTCCATAGCTTCACAAGTGGGTAGTTGTTAAAATTTGACAGCCTCTTTGGCTGATGAACATAGACCAGGCATTAGATGAAGTCACACTGCTGCCAAGAAATCAGAGTGGCAGGAAGGAAGACCTCAAGCCTCAGTGTGATCTCTGTGTATTAAGAAAGTAAGTCTGGGTTAAAGCTATTTTGTTAGTTCATTTCATAGATTCCTCAGTTCACTTTTGGAAGGTTATAATCATATGTTGGTATATTTATGTCACACTTTTGGTGCCAATTCATCCACTTTTTATTATTTTCTGCTTTGAAGTAGTAACTAAGATGGGCCAATAGAGTTCTGGGGTAGGAAGAATATAAAATACACACACACACACACACACACACACACACGCACAACACAGTATCTTCTCTTTACTCTTGACTGGTATTGTAGGAAAGATAACCAATTCTCATATATACCAAATATGGTTTTAGTTTCAGAAAGGGTCAGTTAGCTTCACTTCAACATGGACTACACCCTTGACATAAATTAAGGACAAAATAGGATGTATTTGCCTACAGTAATTCTAGTCAAATCCAATTTCCCTCCTGAAATATAATCCAAAGCATATGCTGAAAATATTTGTTAAAAATGAGTGTAAATTAAATACTTAAATTTAGATCTTAGTTGAATGTTGCTAGCGAGGAGCTTGATATTCAAATTGTAGGATTTGCATTCTTCAACCTTTCTATGTATAAAAATTCTCCTTCTCACCCGAAGTACTGGACAGCAACTTGAACAATTTAGTATGCAGTGGAACAAATGTTGGGAAGTAGTGCAAGTGCCTGATAAAATGAGAGAAATAAAAATAGTGATTAGATTGTGCATCTTCTGACATCCCAAGTTTTGAAGGGGTCTTATTCCCCATCAGGGAGGAGACCCAAAGAGACCCAAAGCTTGGGGCAAATGTTGCATCTAGAAATGGAAATCCTGCCAGACCTATGGAAAAACTGCTTCCACTCAGATTGTCAGAAGTTATTTTTGAGGGTGATGAGATTATTTCAAATACCAGCTATGCTTCACTGTGGGGATGAAGAGCAAACCCTAGAGAAGCTTCAGAGTGTGAAACCGAGGGTGGTTTCTGTAATAAGAGCCACGTCAGTGCTAACATAAACCAGGACAGCATTCATGTTTGAAAGACCTACAGCTGTGGTTCTGTTTTTAAGGGAAGGCATTTGATGGGCATACTCCAAATTCCTCGGGATTACTGAAAAACAGAACACTCCTGATATCCTGACATCTGGAGACTCTAAGTGGGATACTCAATCATATCACCAATGGCTGAGATGAGCCAGTTAATTTAAAAATTAAGATAGCACATGAGTTGCTGCACCAACCTTCTTTCACTCAATAATAATATATATGGCTTCTGCATCATAACCTGGGGTGAGATCATAGACACGCCCACATAAAGCAAAACTTGTCCCATATTTGTTAAGCAGATGTTCAAAACCAAGAGTGTGGCTACATTCCTGACATACCTTCTTGAACTTCATGGATACTAGACAAAGTAATCCAGAGTAAAACATGATGTCCCATAAAGATTTTTTCTATAGGTTCTGCCTCCCTCAATGAAGATGTTTTATATGAACTAGTTATGATAGAAGAGACAGTACATCTAATGCTAATATTGTTTATTTTCTAGTGATTTTTTTTATCTTTGATGCTTTTTTGCATTTCCAAATTTTCTACAATTAGAATGATAAGAAAGAAATAAAAGATGTTAGAATCAAGAATAACTAGTGGTCTCCAAACTTTTTTTTGAGTGTGTGCATATCAGTAAAATATTTTTGAACTTGCAACCTCCTACCTATGCATATTTATTAGTTTATAAATTATGTAACTATTCTATCACTGGCTAATAATCTAAAAATTCAATATGCCCTTTGGGTGAAGTTTAGCTTTTTCATTAGGAGTTGTGATTGCAGATTTTCAAATAGTCTTCTGATAATTTCCAATTATGTCTTTACCTGGCTTCATGACAGATATAATTAGATTGTCATTATTTCCTTACTCCGTAATGTGACTGACAGAGAGTTCAAAGTTCTCTTTTGCTTTCTTGATTAGTATTATCTTCAAGCTACAGTTTCTTTGCAGGAAATTTGTCAAGTCATGTGTCTTTTTGTAAAGGTTAGTTTAGTTTAAACTGGATAATAAATAAATCCATTTAATGGGAAATATGAAGAGAGCAAAAATTTGGAATATGCTGACATCAGTGAATATATGAACCACAATCAGGCCCTCTGGATCAAGACTTCTGCCCTCCCTAAGTCACCCTCACCTCCTATGCACAGCACAAACCATCTGCCCTGTGGTTCCAATCTTCTAATGAAAGTCTAAGGAGACTTCATGTATTTTTCATTGGTCTGATAAAACATGTATGTAAATAATATGTATGCACAGAAATAGGTGTATGTGTATATAGAAAGAATTCTTCTCCCTGTTATCAATGGATAATCTTGTGCCCCTGAGAGGGACAAACCTGTGTTGGAAAGTCCTCAGAATGATACCAAGAAAGATACTCTAAATAAGGAACTTTAAGAAAATATGGGTCATGTATATGGTCTTTTTAAAAAATTTCTCACTCTGTAATTACAAAGTTTGCTCAATGCTCCTAAAAGTTTATCTGTGTAATTAACCTGAGTAAGAATTAGAACAACCAACTCTAAATTATGAGGTTCACATTAGAATGAGTTGGGGCCAGGCAGAACCTGGAGAGAAATGCCATTCAAAAAGGAGACTTCTGCTTAAAGAAGAGAAAGCTGATTATAACTGGTGAGCTCTACTCTTTAGTTGATTGTGTGCAGGGGCCCTTAGCATTTTATATTAGAATGGGCTCATTCAGTCAGTCTTTCATCTGTATAAAAATTCAACTCACTAAACATTTAGTGAGCACCTGCTCTGTAACAGTAACTAAGCTGCACATTAAGTATATGTTGCACCATTAGAGGACTAGTTGTTGAGAAGCATAGAAACAAAACCATCAGTCAGTGTGATGATTCTACTAGAGGAAGGCTCCCAATTTGTTAGGAACACTGAACAGGAGATGCTTGGCCTGGTAAGGTTGCCCGTGAAGGTTTCTCAATCACACCTGGAGAACAGGCAGAAGTTGTTGCCTTCCTCTACCAGAATATCTCCAGAGCTCAGAAGCAGGGACTGGGAAGAGGAGGGAAGAAACAGAATTTCATTATGTGCTGAGCCAAATCTTCACCATTTTTACGCTTTGGACCTTGCTCTTTCTCTGGGGAAAAACAAACAACAAAAAACAGAATAAATCTGTTCTCTATTTTATTAGGAAGTCTCAGAAATATTTTTAAATGTTTATCATAGGTCTCTTTATCTTTATCTGAAAAATCATAAGATGTATGAGTTACTTCTGTAGTCCACTCCAGCTCTTAGAGTTCATTGACTATCGGCCCTCTCTGTGGTACATATCGCCAGTTCATTCACCTCTTTCTGGATAGTGGCCAGTCTTTAGATTCTCTCATTGCCCCCTGCTGAGGGAATTCTCATTAGCCATGTGCAGCTGTGTACCCTTGTATGTGCCACTCAGGAATGAGCCTCTCCCGATGCACCCAGGTGAGAGGTGCCTTTTCAGTGCCTTCATGTCCTATCTTGTGTGACCTTATGCTGGTTGTTTTATCAAGGTAAGTGCTTCCAATACACTGGCTGCTTTTTTTTTTTTATAATAGTTTTTTATTTTCCCCCCTCAAATTTTACTTTTTTCTTCCCCTCTACAGTTCTTTAGCCTATGAAAATAGATTAAAATTTAATTTATTATCAATAAATAATAATCAATCAAGGCTAAGGCTGTTTGAAATGTTGGCTAAGTCAGCAGTACCCGGTGATGCTTCACTGGAGATTCTCTCCCAGTGACATAGCCATTATCCTGCACAGCCACTGTCAGCTGTGGGTCCCATCAGCTCATCCAGTGTCCTCAATTCTTTTCTTCCATAGACACAATATGAGACTCTACAGAGCCTTTCCCAAGCCCATCAACATAATAACATATCAAGAAAGAAACATCTTTTTGAGATCTTTACCAGTTCTTTTTAGTGATCACTGTAGCCTTTTCTAAACGTACCTCAGATCCTTTGGGAAGGAGACGCAGCCTAAATACAATGAGTTAAACCACATCCCTCACAAAGTATTTATTTAATAGTTTCTTCTAAATATTTTGTGAAACTGATTTCAGAATTTTGGGGAGGTTTCCTTCACTCTCCTTTTTTTTTTTTTTTAAACAAAACTCAAGGTTGTTCATACAACCTAAGTATTCTGACATCATCAATTTTCAGTAAATTATCAGAGATCCCTGATGGTGACTTTGGGGCAGGGTCTGGAACAGTGGACCTGAAGTATTATCAAGGTCTGTTGAGGTATGCTTTTCCTTCCTGGGAAGGATGCAGTGGACGGGAGCGGGTGTAAGCTACAGCTTAGGGAGAAAAGAACGTTCTGACACTCAAGTAAGGTGAGGTACTAGAATGAGTGATCACTCTGTGATGGAGGAACTCTTCAACAGATTGGAGATCTTTTGAAAGCCAAACAGAGTTCCACAAGTCTCAAATTGATAAAAGGCAAAGAGATAAATAAAATCTTTCTCAGGATCACCTTCAATTCATATATATGCACATATATAAACATAAATATACATATATATAACTATATATATACACACACACACATATATAACTTTATTTTATTTATTTATTTTATGTGGTGCTGAGGATTGAACCCAGTGCCTCACATGTGATAGGCAAGCGCTCTACCACTGAGCCCCAACTCCAGCACCCCCTTCAACCCTTGTAGTTATAGGTAGACACATTGTCTTTATTTTATTTTTATGCAGTGCTGAGGATTGAACCCAGTGCCTCACACATGCTGGCAAGCGTTCTACCTCTGAGCCACAATCCCAGCCCTGTCCCTTCAACCCTTTTAATCAACAAATTATGACTCTGTCAAAGACCTCAGTTTCAATATAATGATGAGGAAGAAAAGAACATGCACATGGCCATTAAAATTGTCCAGTTGTCCAAGTGATCCAACTGGTACAGGAACATTGGAACCCATCAATTACAACATTTTATAATGTGTTCTTATATTATTTTGCCAAGATAGAAAGGATTTCTTTTCTGCCAAGTCCCTTTTCTTTTCCAGAAAAGTATTGCAATACCTCCAAAGGTATTAAGCTATTTCGATGAAACTTTTAACTCTTCAGATAGATTAGATATGTTTCTGGAACAGAGAGAAATGCTATGATACCTTTAAAATAATCTGTTTTTAAAACTCTAGTACCTCATCATTTGATAAATGGCTTAACACAAAATAATCTAACATTACACTGGTCATGTAGAGTAAACGACTATGGCAGTTTAGTTAATTTCAGTTTCACACTGGTGATTTGTATCAACATACAGACCCATTATGGGTAAAGAAGCTCTTTGCAATCAGTGAGACAGTCTCTTCAGCTACAATATGTCTTGCCCTATCAGCCAGAACTTGTAAGCCAGTAGAGAATATTTAGCTTACATTTTCCTTATCTTAATGAAAATAATGGCATAAAACAGAAAAATACTCATTTTGTAATCAGCAACCCAGGCATTTCAGTAGAATCCCCTCACAATGAAATGCCACAGATCTTTCCTCTTCAATGTTATTGGAAATGGAATTGGACCTTAATAAATGCAAAACATGTAATGTTGCTCTTAAAACTGTTTCACTAACGTTACTCATTTTATAACTACAGGCAAGCTACTTAAATTCTTTGTTTCCTTGTCTGAAAAATTAGGATGACAATATTTTCTAGTCCATATGGTTGTTGTAAGGATTTAATGAATTAACACATGTAATGTTTCTGGCAAAGCTCCTGGCATTTAAGCAGCACTCAGTACTGTGGTCAGTGTTGTTACTATTGTTATTCACAATACATTTTCATTTCATATACATTTACGTACACATGAGTTTGATAATAGCAAATGTATTTTATATATAAGTAAATATATATATATATATATGTGTGTGTGTGTATTTATGAGCATATGTACCTGCTTCTGGATTTTAAGCAACTAAACATCTTATGTGTCCCATTGTTCATCTCCTAATTCATTGCTGAGTCGTATCAGGAGAGTCCTGGGTATTCATATAGAGCAGGTGGTTTCTCTTACCATGCAGAGAATCTGCTCATGCAGGGAGTAGTACATACTTCTCTACTTCAGCTTTAATCCCTCTGTTCACAACCCAATTCCAATTGCAGATGTGTCTCGCATTCATGACAAAGGCCCTTGGGGAACCAGAGAATTTGAGATTTGCTTACCTTATACTAAGCAGTTTGATAGAATTGATTTAAAAATTTACCAAACCCTTAAACAAAAATACCCCATTGATGGAAGACAGTGTGTTTCCTTGCAAGTATAAATTATGCCTGGAATTTATATAAGAGCTCAGGCATATAGTTGATTTATTGATCTGTTCAAAGAACATATGTTTAAAAGGTGCATATGAAGTGAAGAAAATTGAGTTATCATGGGTCTTTTTAAAGAAAAGAAAACATGAAGAGTAAAACTGGTACTTCTCTGATGTGAGCATAAAAAAGAAGGCTATCCCCTGAAAATCAATTCTTACAGAAGCCTTATTAATGTCACACCATGGTTAGGAGCATTGGACTAGTAGTTGATGCTCAGCTCTGCCACCAGCAGCTCTGAGACCATGAGGAAAGCTACCTGGCTGCTGTGTATTTCCATCTCCTTCTAGAGCTGCTCTGGGGATTAAAATAAAGTCAGTTGAATGGCTTAACCCACTATTCATCCCATAATAAATGCACAATTTAGAGAAAAATGATTTCTTCAATAATTTTGTCATCTTCATCATGATCATCATCAGCATCTAAAAATTATTAAAAAAAATAACTACATGATGAGTTTTCCAACTTTGCAGGTGATAGTAAAGAACTAAGTTGATGAGAACAGACCACAGGAAGTGGAAGAAAGGGGGAAGGTGAGTTCTGGTTCAGGCAGGTACAGATTAAAACACTTGAGGAAGAGAGGCTAAGGTTTTCTGTACACATAAATATGGGGGAGGACTCAGATAATAGGAGGAGCCAGTGGAGAGGACTCCCTGTGAACAGAGCCCAAGGTGACTGCTAAACCAACTCCCATGTATCAATTTTTGGCAGCAGATACTAAATTTGGTGTGTCTAATCTTTTTAAAGTGAGACTTGTCATTTCCCACTGCCTGTTACCCTAATTTTTTTTAGCTCCTCATCTGATTTCCCTTATTACTGTGTCTCTAGAGTAGACAACTGTTAGATTAAAAATATTGTTCAAACTATATCTTCAAGAGGTCATCAGATCCTAACTTTCCAATTAATTCAGGAGAGTGAATAAGACAGAGGCCACTAGAGCCAAGGGAGTAACTGAGAAGGCCAGAATGGAGCTAATAGAGCAGAAGGAGAAAGCAAAATAGGTTAACTGAAAACTGAGTGCCCTCTGGGAACCTTGTATTCCCTCTTTCATTCATTTGATACAGGTCCTCACTTCTTGCCTGAGCACATGCTCTCCAAGTGGAGATCTCCAAATTCATTCCATTGGGTAGGTTTTGCTTTTAACAATCTTATCTCTGTATGAGCAAACTAACCCATGTCCCACGTTATGAGATAAACCAAAGGAAAAACATCTGAGTCTAAGGATGTGGTGAAACCTTCAGGCCAGAAGGTCTGTTTTGAAGGGTGGTCAAGACTTCAAGAGACTGGAAGGAAAGACAGGGTTATTGAACAGGAATGGAGGCTGGTGGATGCTGATCTAATGCTCAGGATCAGCAGTAAACCGGTTTGAATGGATCTTAACAGAGAGCATGAGATAAGGTTGGAAAGTTAGGGTTACTCATTAGCAGTAAGGTAAGCTGCAGTTTTGAAACTGATTTTTTTCTTAAAAAAAAAAAAGATGCATTGTCACACTCATATAATCCCAATTATTCATAAGGCTGAGACAATAGGATCTTAAGTTTGAAGTCAGCCTCAGCAACTTAGAAAAATAAAAAAGGCTAGGGTATATATAGTTCACTGGTAGAGCATTTGCCTAGCATGTGTGAGGCCCTGGGTTCAATCCCTAGTACCACAAAAAAAAGCCCCTTGTATCCCAGAAAGAAATTGGAGTAGACACCCCAATAAAAGAACACTCCTTAAGAAAAAAAATGTTCAAGAAAGAAAATAGTTTAAACTCCAGAAAACATTGAAAGCATACAATTTAAACTCAATGAAGGCTCTGGCTATTGGCACTTGGAGAAATAGGGAAGTAGAGTCAGACACAGAGAGGGTGAAGAGTATATAGACCCCGGGGAAGCAACCTTAGGAGTCAGCCCTTTCTGTTGAAATTCAGCCCCTTGGAATTCTCACTCTTCAGGCTGCATAACAGAGTTGGCCCTTCAGTTTAATGTAGTCAGTTGATGAGAGTGGAGGAGGTTAAGGAGAAGGGAGGAAAGAATATAGAAACACCAGATATAGAATGCTGGGCAGATTTCACATTCAGTTTAGATCATATTCCTAAGATACCAGACCTCTGAGCCTCACTTTGCTGACTTAAATACTTCGACCTTTCTCTGTTTCCCTCACCAGGACCTTTGACACTTTCCTCTTCATGAATTCCTGACCTTAGGACCCCTCTGGGATCTTCCTGCATCAAAAGGACCCATTATTGAGTCCGTTTCATAGAAATTTGAAAGAAGAGGCAGGCTGTTCCTTTCATGGTTGTTGTCTTAGTTTTATTCTGATTTCCTACGGTTAATGGGCAAGGAATGGACTACGAACTGTGATTTGGACAATTTTATTTATTTATTTTGGTTGTTTTTTTCTGGATATCATTCTTTATGATTGAGGGAGAGAATCCTGCACAATGGAACACAGGAACCAGATCCAGACCTGGAGTTGGACATGTAGAGTTTTTAAAATAATGTTGTAGCCTTGACACATTTGTCAGATTTCTCTAGACCTCAGTTTATATTACTGAAAAATACGCACTACTTAGTTTCTGAGGACCTCTTCAATTATGAAATATTTTTATAGCAACAGTTGTTGGTGATGGTGGACAAAACCTCTTTGCAGTCAGGAGAAGAACTAAGCTACTTCATAAGCTTTGCCCCGTGCTAGCAAGGGAAACCTGTGACAATCACTATGTCTGTCTGAGCGAGGGTCAGCTGCTTCTTCTGTAAGATAGACTTGGAAATCTCCATGCTGCCTTGTCTCATTGTTTCATTGTGGCAATCAAATGAGATGAATATGCAAAAGCTTTATAAACCATATATTAGAACATAAGTGTTTTCCTGCTATTCCTTTGCTGTTGCGATAGACATTGAAACACACAGAGAACACTGGAAGGCATGTGCACACGGATGCATGACAGTCTTGCTTAGATCAAAGAGATCATGATCAAAGAGATGGGAAGCAAAGACTATCTGAGGATTGCGTTAGTTAGTAAGGCTTGGGATTGGTGAGCTTTAGCTTAGTAGCCTCTCAAGGATCTGGCAAGCCTGTACTGATCTTGGTGGTTCCTCACAGGTTACAGCAGAGCTGGATGCCTGGAATGAGGACTTGCTCCGGCAGATGAATGACTTCAACACGGAGGATCTGACCCTAGCAGAGCAGCGGCTACAGCGCCACACAGAAAGAAAGCTAGCCATGAACAATATGACCTTTGAAGTCATTCAGCAGGGCCAAGATCTGCACCAATACATCATGGAAGTCCAGGCTTCAGGTAGGCAGCCCCCCATTCTTCTGGCAGGAGAGATGATAGAAACAAGGATACCACTTGCCTCCAAGGACCACTCCCACACTCTCATTCATTTATTTCTACCAAGAATAGAATTTTTACCCCCATTTTAAAGAAAATGAAAGCAAAGCCATGAGAGCTAAAATAGCTTGTCCAAGATTGCTCAGTTAGGCTCTGGGAAAGATGGGAATAGAGCCCGGGTCTCCTGGTAGTGCAAAGAGAATGGGCCAACTAATGGTGGGAATTAGCTTGGGTTTTTTTGTTTGTTTGTTTGTTTGTTTTTTAATGGTGGTTAGAAAAGTAAACCAAAAGCAGCCAGACATCCATGGAATTGTTCTTAAGTATATAGCTCCTCATCCCATCCTCGGCATACACTCTCTTCCTTTCCTCCACTCCCAGGCAGTCTTCTGTTCTCTCATGTTTCACAAGCCCTCAATTTTTTATCACTGTTCTGTAAGTGAGTATAAGCAGTACTGATAAAAATTTATTGCAAGATCATATAATTTTATTGCTTCTCAGAAAACATGGCTAAGTTACACAGATTTTACTCCTTTTCTTGCTCAAGATTTATTCAAAATGTATCCACCAAGTGCATGATCCCTTAATGTACTCCTGCCACTCTCCAGGATGGCCTTTTAGAACTGGGGAAAGTCATAGTGATTCCCCAAGAATAGCTGGTCCAGAAGAAAAGATGCTACTTATTCTGTTAGAGTGCTGGAACCCAGGTCTTCTTCACTTTATTTAACTTTTCATTGCTATATCCAGATACCTGACAAGAACAACTTAGAAAAGGAAAGATTTATTTTGATTCATGGTTTCAGAGGAGTCTGTCCATGGCCAGTTCCATTGCCACGGGCAGGACATCATGGCCGAAGTGCCTGACAGGAAAACTGCTCAGCTCATGGCAGCCAGGAAGCTGGGGGTGCTGGGAGCCAGGGAGAAGATAAACCATTTCGCAGAATGCCCCGAGTAACCTACTCCTTCCAACTAGATCCCACCTCCCAGTAGTCCATTTAGCTCCCAGCAAATTAATCCATCAAATGGATTAATCCAGCTGATGATGTCAGAGCCCTTTGACCCAATCATTGCCTAAAAACCCCACCTCATGAGACTTTGGGGGAAATTCCAGATCCAAAACATAACACTCCAGGTAGGTCATATGTACATTAAAATTTGAGAAGCAGTATTCCGGCACATGAACCATGGCTTTTCACAGCCTTTTTAGGGAAGTGTGGTAGGGGGTGGATGGTGACCCCTTCTTTGTGATTGAGAATCGTACCTGGATTCAGGGTTTAGCCCACAGCAGGCCTTGCAGTGCTACTATACTTAATAATGGGGACCATGAGAGATGAAGACACAGTACTTAGGAGAGAGGCTGGCCAGAGCAACTGTGCAAGGATGCTCACTTTCACCACTCCAAAGTGGACGCTTCTGCCAGGTGCAGTCATGACCTTGGGCAAGCCAACTTCTGTCCCAGCATCCAAGTATCCATGGAAACAGAAAGCATGGATCTGGAAGTCTCTGAGGACTGCTTGTGACTGGGGGTTGGCTGTGCTTGGCGTCCACCTTAGCCATGAGGACTGAGTGGGTGAAAATACCCCCAGGCAGATGGGCTGCCCACCCCCACAGTATCCTGTTCTAGAAACAAGTTTTGTTAAAAAGATATTTGGTCGGCCTCTTCAGCCCTCTCCACTGAGAATGGCTGTTCCTCTACACCTACCTCAGCTAGCTGTTCAGTCTGGCAGAACCCATGAGGCTTCAAATGGAATGAATCCAAGCATTTCAGGGAAGCTTATTCCCTGTCCGTGACCTGGTCTTGCAGAAAAGTCATGTATCTCATCTCAGAGCTTGCAGCAAGGGAAGACAGAGTCGTGCCAGAGCTGGGGGTGGAGGTGGGTGAGGGGTGCACCCAGGGTGGGCCTTGCTCCTCTCTCATGGCTGAGGAATGCAAGACTTCAGAGACACAGGATTGTGGTTTGTCTAGTGCATTTATTTGGACTAAAGGTAAAATAACTGTCATTCTAAAAACATTACATCTAGCAAAATTAAGATTTACTGGTTTTTAGCCCCCTGCCCTAAATTAATGGTATATGCTTTGAATGTTTTCAGTAGCAAAAGCCTTGGCATAAGTCAACATTAGTCTGAGGAATAATTTCTTCATTTGTCATGTTCTTTCCTCACTATAGCATTATCTATTTGCATCTCAAGTTGGGAGGCGGTAAGTTTGACTAGGAAGAAAACATGCTGTCTGAATTCAAGGTCCCATTCCATCACTAACAAGCAGTCTGATTTTGGAAGACCATTCTCTTTCTCTTTAGACCTTAGTTTCTTCTTGTGTCTAGTGTTGCATGGGCCTTGATTCCTAAAGTCTCTTCCAGTTCTCACTTCCCATGATTCAATCCAACTACTTTCACTGGTTACTCTATAGATCTTCTCTCCAATGAAATCTGGCTATATAACCATCACACTTGACCTCAGAAACAACAAATGCTGCTGGGCATGACTCCAGAGACTATGAAGCAGGAAGATCTCAAGTTCAAGGCTAGCCTCAGTAACTTAGTGAGACCCTGTCTCAAAATTTAAAACAATAAATAAAACAGATTGGGGGTAAAACTCAGTGGTAAAGTACCCTATGGTTCAATCTCCAGTACTAAAAAAAAAAAAAAAAGGAAGAAAAAAAGAAAGATCAAGAGCTGTGTATCTTACGGATATATTTTTGTTGTTTAATCAAATCAAAAAAGTTCTCTTTTTATGCACAACTTTTAAGTGAAAAATCTTTGGAGTCTCTTGCAATAATGCCTAGAATTTACTGTGCCTGAGTAGTCAGGCACAGAATTTGAAAATAGTGTAAACATATCCCCAAAAATAATTACATTTGGGAGGATTTTGAGGGCACAGACACAAGAGGAAATCCTGGGTTGATATCCACTCCTCTTGCTACCTGGGTGTCCTTGATCATGTTACCCAATCCCCATAATGCCTTCCCTTCTTCTAAGGAAGTAGTGGTCAAGGGTATCTACCACACAGGGAGATTGCAGGAAGCACAGTGGGATCATCCACTAGCATGGAAAGGGTTCAGAAAAGCTTGACAACTCTCCTGTTTTATTCTTGTATTCTAGCACACACTTCATTCTCTTGGGGGGGTTGTGTTCGAGCAGATTCTCCAAAAGCCTCTAACAGAAGGGTTGTCTTACACACAGCAAGTTATCAATAATGACGTTTGCTGAATTAATCAAGAATGAACACAGTGTGGGCAGAACAGATGTAGGTTAAAATAATGGACCACAAATAATTTTATTTGTGTTGTAAAAGAAAAGAAAAGGAAGGGTGTGTGGTTTTTCAAAATGGAAGGTACTCTGGGGTTAACAGGAATGTGGACCTGCTAGAGCTAAGAGGAAGAGCAGAGAGCCTTGATGTAAAACAAGCCTGGCTGCACATTTAGAGTCACCTGGGAACTTCTTAAAAATACCAATGACTGGGCCTCATCCCTCAGGGAGTCTTACTTAATTGGCCTGGAGTGGGCCCAGGTTTTTATTTTTTAAAAAACTTCCCAGGCGATTCTGGCCCAGGCCAGAATTGAGAAAACTGATCTAAAAACCTGATTAAAGGACTTTTTAAGTTCTGACCTGAGTGTTTTATAGAGGGAGTGATACAGTAAGAGAAGTGGAAGGAGAGGAGAAAAGAAAAAACAAAAGATATTCTCTGCCTGAGGCCGATACAAGTATTTAAGAACATGAACAGTTGAAACATGTTATAGGTATGAGCAGCGCAGCCAGGAATCCCCGAATCTGACCCTCCACCACAGCTACCTCTCTCCTTGAGGAAACTGAAGTGGTCCCTCAACCTTGCAGACAAGGAAAATAGAGCCATGTTTATTGTTATTTGCTGTGGCTTTGTGCCCTAAATAAACATTAGTGCAGAGGGTTCCATAGCTGAGTGTAACCCAGGAGCATCTCTGGTCTCTGCATGGTGGCCACTGTGCCATCTTCACAATTGTAGCTGCATGTTGGAATCAGCCTGGGGGTCTTAACAATCACTGATAACTGAGTCTCACAGAGATTTTGCTGCTATGGGTCTGGGATGTGGCCAGGACTTGGTGATTTTTATAAGTTCTTCAAATGAATCTAATGTGAGCAGGGATTGAGAGCCCTAGTAATAGCTCTCAAACCATACTCTATAATGATGTGTATTAAGCAAATGCATAAATACCTGTCAGCAGATTTTATGCTTACATTTTACATAAGACATTCAACAGTGCCATAAGTAATCAACAAAAGGTATTTACATTAAAGGGAAAAGTGGAAAATGGATATTTTGAGCCAGCTAGAAAACTCTATATAATATCTCTCTCAGTCCTCACGACATTCCTAGTAAGTTGTTGTGATTCCCTTTAGATGGATAAGAAAACTGAGGCTCAGAAAAGGTAAGGAGCCCAGAATCTCACCATTAATTGGTTGCAAAATGTAGATTCAAACCTAAGCATGACCTTTCCTAAAGCTCTTAGGTACTGTCCACCACAATATATGACCTCAGCTCTTCCTAAAGAGGCCTGTTTGTTCACTGACCAAGGATGTATTGGGTGACACGAGTCCAGCACCATGCTGGAGCCAGAAGAAATAGAGATGAATGTAGCCAACACAGGCCTGGTCAGGGAGCCCTGTTCCTGTACAATATAAATAAGTTGATAAGGAACCAACTCTGGTGGAAGTATTTTGATGAAGGGATGGGCACAGAACACTATGGGAGCACATCAGAAAGACATCGCAATACAACTCTTTTTAAAAAGACTGACAACTATTTTATTATAATTCATGACTTGATATAAAGAACACACATCTCTTCCTGAATTTCTGAGAGCCCCTTAAGGAAGATGGGTAGGTCTATGATTAGACTGAGAGCAGTGAAGTCAACATAAGCAAACTCTACTTGCTGTCAACTGGTGGATATTTACCAGTTGGTGTTTTAAATGGAACTCACACCAATGTATTGGAGAGCAGTGGAAGAGAAGGTTTTCTTTCTGTTCTAGGAGTGGGTTGAACAAGCCCTCGTGTTCCTCCTATTCACTCCACTCACAATGGTGTGTTCACAATGATGAATTCAGAGATGTAGTGGGCATCCTTTCATCTTTTGTATTTCTTGCATTCATCTCATGTAAAATAATACAGAGTGAAACAAATGAAATTGCAGGACCTGACTCTTGGTGTAGGCTTACCTGTTCTGGATGACGTCCCAAGCAGGTGCTGGCCTCCTTGGTGAGTTGTTAGGCTTCAAGTATCTATTCACATCAGTGTGGCAGGGGTCAGCTGTGAGCTTCACACAGAAAGACACCTTGACTTAGCCCAGCATGCTAAACACTAGAGACACTGCAAAATGAAGATAAGCTAGAATAAATCCTCACTGTGACTGGACATGAAGAAAAGATGGATCTAAAATTACATTTCCAGAAAGTAAACATAGGGGCCAAGGGTCATTCTCCATGCTGAGCACTGCAAAGGTAGAAATCTCTCTGTTTCTTATATTTTTATTGAGAAGGAGATGATCTACATCATCCTCCTGGTAATTGAAAATAGCAACCAGAGGGGGTTGGCTGCCAAAAGAACAAGCCTGTTCTTTTCTCTGTCTCCCACGGATATTTCGGGAGCCGGGACTTGGAATTATGAAACTGACAAAAAAAATAAATATGAAAAGATACTGAAATTATTACCATGTAACACCAGAAAATATTTTTTCCCACTCTCCCATATTGTCCTTATATAAAACACTATTTTTGCCTCTAGAAATGAATTTCCCTAAGTGTGCACAGACTTTCCTGGTACTCCCCCGACTGCAGGCTGCAGGTGTGTTGGTGGCAGCAGTGATGAAGTTCTTATGGTGTGAGTCAGAGTGACAGGGATGTCTCCCAAAGGGGATTTTTTTTTTAGGTCGTTTGTTAAGATTGGTGGGTTCCTTTGAATTTGATCACCACAGATAATTTGAGGACATACCTGCTGGGTTTTTGAGTCTGAATCCCATTGTGGGTCAAGTCCCTATTTTTCTGCATCTCAGATAAAGTGTCAGCATTAGAACCACAACTGCTTTGGGCCATCGTTTATAGGATAAGGAACCAGGGAAAGGATTTGGACAGAAGAGGTTACAGAGCCAAGTAGAGTCAGAGGTCAGAATAGGAAAATGATTGAGTTAGAATTTTCCCAGAGCTGAGGATCTGAACAAGTCTAAATCAAAAATAGGTAGACAATTAAAATAAAGAAACAACGTAAATCACAACTTGCACCAAGTCAGAGACAGGAACGCAGAGGGAACGAATGGAAGAGGGCAGAAAGTTGGAAGTTTAAGGTGAATGCCAGGAACTAGGAAAGCTATGGGACTAGGAGCAGTAATCTGTATTTATTATGGGTACATGGATCTACATTGATTGCATGTATATAACATATGCACATAATATGTACATGTCATGTGCTTTACATGTATTATCTCATTTTATCATCCCAACAAATTTAAGAGGTAACTTATAAGGTAGGTAGGTAGATAAGTAGATCGGTTTGCAAAGTTGTAGTTTACATGTGAAGAAAATGAAGTTTCTGAGAGGTTAGATGTCTTGCCCAAGATCCATATTTTAACCCTCAGGACTGGTTCAGAAGATGGTACATTTTCCATGTTGTCTCTGAGAATTAAAAAAGGACTATAGTTCAACTCACTAGCAACAAAAGTACTGGGATAACTAAGGCAGTCCCTTTACTTTGAGAGTTTGTATCCTAAAGCAGAAATCCATTTGAGAAAGGCTTCTTCCGAACCGGTGGAGATAATGTATAAATAGAAGTGTTGGCAGGGTGAGGAGAACACGTGTGTATACATCTGCACTCGGGTGTTGGGAGAGGTATAGGGAAAGGGCAGACAGGAAGGTAGAGAAGGAATAGAACCACAGATTTTGGCTAGCAGATATCAATTCATGGTCCCTAATACAGGCTGGTGGTTTATTAACACTGGACGCTTGTCAGTGACTGGGCTTACTAATTGTTTTGAATTAGTAGAATAATGAACAAACTTTCCTTGTGTGAAATGAATAAGCATTCAATATCCCTGGATGTTGCTAGGGTGTATTTATAGTATGTGTTTGAGAGCCAGCGTGTATTTCATATATATATATATATAATTTATTTATTTATTTTTTATTATTTTTTTAGTTTTTTAGATGGACACAATATCTTTATTTTATTTTTATGTGGTGCTGAGGATCAAACCCAGTGCCTCACGCGTGCCAGGCGAGCATGCTACCACTTCAGCCACATCCCAGCCCTGCTAGCATCTATTTCTAAGCCTTGCTTTTTTTTTAGAGGCAAAGAAGTTGGCTAATAAAATCATCACTCCCCAGCTACTCTCATCATAGTGTACTTCCCATCTAATGAGAAATTATATCTGACCTTAAAAGAGAATGTGCCCTTGGCAGAATTTCCTGAAACAGGGTCCATTTAGTTTAGTTTTATGTTTTCTGATTTGACCCAGAGGCTTGCTTGTGAATATTCTGGGTGTTGGGAAATCTCCTGTCGGGGGCTAGTGGGTGCTGTTGACTAGGGATGGATTTCCAGAGCGCCAACTCTTTAATTCCATTTTGTAGTAAAGAGCTGATCACTTATTAAAAAGTAACTCCAGGCAAAGAATCAGTTAACCCAAAAGAGCTGGCGTGGGCTGAGCATCCTATATAAGGGCCACTTATGGTGATCTGTCTAGCTGAACAGAGGGATATGTAGAGGTTGGGAGGGTGCTGATAATGGCCACTTCCAAATCCAGTTTTCTTACGAATATTAAGGAAATGTTGTCTTCACAGTACTATGTGGTTTTTAAATATTTACATTTTTTTTAAATCAGGAATTGAGTTAATCTGTGAAAAAGACATTGATCTGGCAGCCCAGGTGCAAGAGCTGCTAGAGTTTCTCCATGAGAAGCAGCATGAATTGGAGCTCAACGCGGAACAGACCCACAAGCGGCTAGAGCAGTGTCTCCAACTGCGGCACCTCCAGGCAGAGGTCAAACAGGTGAGCCTGGCCTGGTGCCCGCTCCTGTTGTGGGTGAGGCATGCAGAGCCATAGCCACAGGTGTAACGTCTGAGTATCCAAGCCTTAAAAAATAGATAAGGACTCATTAATTTCTGAAAGTTTGGCTGCTGTACCTAATAGACTCCATGGTAAAATGCCCCAAGATATAGCACATTATAATCTAAGGAGAGCATTCCAGAGATTTCCCATGTTGTCCTCTGTCACTGAATCTATTCTGTTCCTGCCTATGCTTAATCCTGTCAGAGTCCATAGGACTTAGAGTTACGTTGATAAATTTGAGGCACTTATATCCTTGTGACAGTACCTGACACATAGCTGATAGTTGTTAAGTAGTAGTCATTTCCATCATTATTTCCAATGTGTATGTGACTCTTAAAGGAACATTTTCTGGACATTTAAAAGTTGATTTTAAAAAAGATCAAAGAATTCTTCTCTGCATGAGGCCTTATACCAGGCATTTTACTGGAGGACACATTCAGACCTCCAGGAATATGTACCTAATGATAAGTGTTACATTTGTGAATATTACTGTTAGTTATGCTTTCAGCTCACAGTTTTCAGAGGTTCAGTCCATGGCCAACTGACTCTTCTGTGGGCCCAAAGTGAGACAGACCATCAAACCAGTTCCAAATGCTTCTGAACCACATGGTCAAGTTAGTCACAGCAACAACCCCACTTCTCAATACCAATTTCGGGGTTAGTTAGCTTTTCATTGCCATAACAAAAATACTTGAGAACAACAACTTAGAGGAGGAAGAATTCACTCTGAACTCAGGGTTTCAGAGCATTTAGTTTATGGCTGGCTGACTCCATTGCTCTGAGCCCCAGGTAAGACAGAACAACATGGTGGAAGGTCTTGGCAGAGGGAAGCTGCTCACCTTATGATGGCCAGAAAACAGAGCAATTGCAAAAGAGGCCTCAGGAAAAATGAACCCTTTGTGGGGCATGCCCCCAGTAGCCCACCTCTTTCAGTCATGACCCCACCCACCTACTATTACCACCCAGTTAATCCATTCAAACTAGGATGGACTGATTAGGTTACCACTCTATAATCTAGTTATTTTACCTCTAAATATTCATGTATTAACCTAGGAGCTTTGGGGAAACACTTTATTTACTATAATGATTACTATTTATATCATGAGCAGACTGTAATAAATAACAATGTAATAATCATGGCATAAGCATTAGCAAGGGATATCTTGAATACAGGTGACTGAGAAATAGTAATTCTTGTGAACATAACGAATTGACATATTTTAAAACAAAGATTGAAGTAAAAATACAATAATAGTTCCAATACTATGTACCTTTTCCATCTCCATCAATCCTCACAACACTCTTTGAAGCAGATACTAGTCCTGTTTTAAGGATGAGGCTACTGAAGCTTAGAGAGGTCACCAGACTATGATCACAATGAGGAAAAAACACACCACTGCCCTCCACAGGTGCCGGAGGGCCTCCTGCAGGGCAGGAGCTCATCACCTCAGTGGTTGCTGCTTTCTGCTCCCTATTCCTCTAAGCAACCCTGTCCCCCCTGCTTCCTCTAGGCCCAAGTTATCCTAAGCAGAGAAATATTTTCCACCTTTAAACATTCTTATGTACAGTGTCTACAAGAGATTTTAGGTTTAAATGTATTAATGGAGTTCAAGAGACAAAAATGTCATATTTTATTTAACTATTTCTCACTCATCTGTATTCAAGATATCCCTTGCTAATGCTTATGCCATGATTATTACATTGTTATTTATTATACTGGGAAGAATCATCTTCATTCCTCTTTTCTTTCAATCAGTGCTCAGCCAGAGCCCAGCCACATGCCATGCTAAAGGTCTATATTCAGCACAGATGAAATCAAATCACTGAGCCCCAAGCAAGACCGGATCACAGAGCTGCCATCCAGGTGTTTTCTGCCTAATTACAGCGGGATACATATGAGCCTCTAAATAGAAATGTTATTCATAAGGACATGTTAGAATTCCTAGCAGGCTCGGAGCAGTAATGAGTATACAAATTTTTGAAACTTTTAGCATAAGTGATAGTACTTTCTTTTCATATGAGAGGTACTTTTCCCTTTATGATCTCATTTTAAAAAGAACAGTCCCGTGAGGAAAATTGTGTTATGTTTTCTTTATAAATGAGGAAACTGAGGCACACAGAATTAGTGCTCTCCAGGGCTTACAGTAGTTTGCTGAAACCTGAGCCCAAGCTGCCTAAATGCAAGTCTCGCCTCTAGGGGGCCTCATACTCACACAGGAGCATTAGAGAGAAGCCCCCCAGCAGAACCCAGTCTAAGGTTTTCCTGGCCTGGCTGATACCATGTCTAAAAAGACAGGCAGACATGGTCTTGGCTGCATGGAGAGTGTGGCACCTAAAGCCAGCAGGGCTCCAACAGGTCATCAAACTCCTCCCCTGCTCTCATGCCTGGGAATTTCTATCAGTAGCAGAAGACAGGATTGAGTAATCATCTGATAGGGGAGGAAAAAAAGTAGATAACAGGGTAGTCATTCCTATTTGACTTTAAAATGGAAGACATAGTTTTGCTTTTGTTCCTGGATTTTTAATTTTATTTATTTTTTGCTCCAGCATCAATAGTAGAATCAGTTCTGTAATTATGTTTTTCTTAAGCTGATATTAAAATTGAAATGAATTTTCATTCTTTAAGTATACATCCTGTATAAAGTGGGTTCTGGGATGATAGGTAGTTTGTCAAATGGGAAACTAGATTGTTTATATCTGAGTAATCCTGGGTTGACTAATATATGCATTTATTCCCATTCATAATTTCATGCATTGGAGGACAAAAAGTTCTTCTGTAGGGGTGGGAAGATGTTCTCTTCCCACCGTGGCAAGAATGACACACATGGGATTATAGTTCAAAACTGTACAAGCTTGCTCAAGTCCAGCTCTGAAGAAACCTACAAAGGCCTTTGCAAAAGACCGTAGCCCTTTTATCACCAAGGGACTGCTACTTGGTTAAGCCACCATGCCTCATTAGACAGACCTGTTTTCCTTGTCAGTGTAGGTTCTTTCTTTAGGGATTTGTCTGATCCAGTTTCAGAGAAGGCATTTGTGTTTGATGGAAATTGGTGGAGCAGGAAATATTGATTTGGAAACTGTTGACACTTGGAAAAAGCGAGTTAATTTAGATGTCAGTATTGATCAGTGAGGCTAAATTTAGACACTGGCTTGAGAGTTTCTCTTTTGAATATACTCTTAAAGAGGAAAAAAAGAAAAGAAAAGAAAAAAGATACCTTAATTGAAATGCCATTAATTTAGACAGAAAGGGAGATAAAATAATGTATTATGATAAAATAATGTATTATGATACATTCTGTTGTTGGAGCTTTTAGATGAAAGGTTTAGATTTGACTGTGTAGCCATCATAATCAGAAATGTAGTTACACCAAAATTATATTAAACGAAGCTTTTACAAGTGAGAAAAGTGCAGAGACTGACTGAAGATTATCCAAAACAAATGAAATTGAGGAATGCAACTGACTTTCTTTCTAAGAGCTTCCTCTGGGGAAATGTTGAAGGAAAACCACTCCCCCAATTACAGCATTTGGCCTAGGTCCCCAGGCCACCAATGTGCCCCTCAGATTACCCTCCAAACCCCACAGAATTCTCAGACTGCTTCCAGGAAAATTACCACTCCAGTAAAGATGACCTCACATCCATTAGATAATTCAGGAAGATTGAAAAAAATGACCTAATGGGTATAAAACTAAATGAATTTCCAGATGTTATTCTTGCAAAGCAGTGCATTTAGCAGAAAATAAGCTAAAATCAATTTATAAGATATCAGATTGCTTCCTCAGGTTAAATATTTGCCAAAATTTCCATATGATCAAGTATATATTCAAAACAAAGGGAAATAATATTAGCCTGACCTTATACTCCTGTGGAGAATACTGTGTTCAGTTCTGGTGACTGCATGTAAAAGGTAGAAAGGTATTCAAGTAGATCCAAAAGATGGGCAACCAAAGGGACACGTACCATCCTTTTGTTTCAAAATGCAGATAAGTAAGAAGACACATGGCAAATGTATAGTCATAAATCCAGGAAGAATGAATGTGTACAATCTCAGAGATAGGAGTTTTTAGAAGTAAGGAATTCTAGAATTATGACAGGCTCCCTACTACCAAAAATTCCTAAGTATTTTTCCTATTTCAGAAGTAATTGTGCCTTGTGATGGGTCATCTATAGTAGCAATCCTAAGAGTTGGTCGCCTTAAGTGCAACTTCATAACTTTATTGTAGGTATGACCTCAAGAACACAATCATCAGCATGCAGCTTCCTCAGCATGCATTATTACAAGGCCTTGTCTTCCCATCTTAAATTACATCATCAGGTGTGGACATCCACGTCCAGTTACTCTAGTCCACTCTCCTTCTGATTTTATGGTTTGAAAATACTTGTATATTAGTGATTTAATTTCATCTTTACCTTTTGCTTAAGGCAAGAAAAGTGTTCACATTTTACAGATGAGGAAACTGTGCCTTGTATTAAATGATATTTCTAAGTTCACACTGCTCAAGATTAGTAGAAGCAATATTTTCTCATTTTGTTTCATGTCTCTTTTATTTAGCACATATTTGGATGCCCACAGGATAATAACTAACAAATTTTATGAATCAGGAGGATAAAAGATCCCAATAATAGAAAATTACACCTACAAGAGTTGTCCATAATTAGAGTACAAAGGGTAATGATGACAACAACCTAAGAAACATCAGAATATGTCAATAAGCTCATTCAAACTATTGAATAAAGCTTACTATATCTAAAATTTTTCTCTTTTCATTGGGAAAAGTATAAATGAAGAATCACAGCACTACCAGACATCACTAACACTAACACCATCATCATTATCAAACTTTACATTTCCTGTATGTTACATCAACCCTGTAATACAAAAAGGAAAGGCGCAACTATCCTTATTTTACAGATAAGAAAACTGAGGTTCAGAGAGGTTAAGTGATTTTTCCAGGTAAGTAACAAAGTCAGGTATTCTGACTTCAAATTTATGCTTTTTCTAAACTATGCCAGTTCTACTTCTGGGGCTGACTCATTCATGGGGATCAATCTCACCATGGAATAAGCCATGAGTATAAACTACCATGTATTCTTATTTTCTTAAAATCAAATGTTTAGGGGCTGGGGTTGTGGCTCAGTGGTAGAGCACTTGCCTTGCATGTGTAAGGCACTGAGCACCACATAAAAATAAATAAATGAAGGTATTATCGTGTTCATCTACAATTAAAATATTTTTAAATCAAATGTTTAGAACTTCAAAATTATTTTATAAAGAGTATTTTATAAACAGTATTTGGGAAATAAAATGAACAATAGGCTATGATATGATTTAATAAAAGAACTAGGGACTAAACACATGATATTTCTAGGTGGAAAAGCTGGTAAATGGGTATTCCCACCACCATAGCTATCACTGATGTTTCCAGTTGGCTGAAACTAGAGAGGAGAAGAATTTTCCAGCAATACTCAGGAGGCCCAGAAGGAGCACTGCTTTGTGTTGCACATAGAGAAAATGTTTTTCTGATACTCTTAAATAATCTCTAAACTAAGCAGAATACAGTGAAACATGGTACATAGAGACACAGTTCAAAATACATATTATGAACTCCATCTTCCAAAGAGAAGAGCATTTGGACATGCAATCTATGAATGCAAACTTTCAGGCAGCTTTTCAAAATCATTAGCACCTCTAGCTAGCCAGCCACAGTCCACCATGACAACAGGAATTTCACACATACACTCTGAGCAGTTATTTCCTGCAACCAATTGCTTTACAGATTGGCATCTCATCCACAATCTGCCAGACTGGCCATGAATTAACATCTCAATCCAAATAGCCCAGCTCCAGCAGGATTTGTGCCCCAATGTTATCCATGTACAATAAGGCATCCGTCATTGTCTGCTCAGGGATGAAATTTGAGAAAGCCCTTTGGGAATTATGGAGCAGCAGACCAGCCTTGGTATTTTCCAGTTGTTTAACATGAGGAAGTTGAGGGGAGAAAAAAATTTGAAAGCAAATCTGAAACAGATCATGGTGTCTCTTCCTTTGGCATGAGGTAACAGATGGATGGTATTTACTAACTTTGAAATTTCCAGAGAAGTTTCATTTCCTCACCAAGCAAAAACCTCAGAGTCCCTAGAAAAGAAGATATTTAGCTACATTCTGGTGACAGCACAACAGGTGTGTTTGCAGAGCCTAACTCTCCCAGGTGGACTATTTTACACAGACTCTGTTAAACTAGAGAGTTGCCCATTTCACAGACTAGGACTATCTGCTAGCTGTATCTTCTTCTATCCTAATATTGCTTAGCTGAGTTTTCTTTGCCCCACTACTCATTAAGTTCACCCAGAAATTGTATTCAGCCCAGCCATAGCCTCTAAATAATTTAAGTCCATTATAATTTACTCTCCCTTTTTCTGATGATCAGTGTATGACTTATTCATGCTATTTTACTTGTTTTCTCCTTCCTGCTTCCTTTGGGCTATTTACCTAGCAAACCCCAACTCCATTTATTCCTGGCTATAGGTATAGGGAGGTTGGACTCACCGCTCAGGTGTGACTTGGGTCTTCTCCATTACTTTTAAATCATTACTACACCACACCCATGATAGGTAGGGTACTGTACTAGGCACCATGTGATATTAAAATATGACTAATAGAATGCCCCAGACTTCAGGGAGTTTACCTTCTAAGGGGGAAATGAAATTTAGGTTAAAATAACTGAAGAAGTCAGCTGTGGTGATTAACATATAGGTGGTACATACAAACTAGTATGGTTGTGCTGAAAAAGGAAGAGATTGCTCCTAATAGGAATGATGAGGTGTGGAAGATTTCAGGAAGTTGTTGTTTGAACTGGGTCTTAAAAAAAGAATAGGATACCAACAGTTGGAATTTACTTATTTATACCATTCAATATTCCTGAAGGAACTTTAGACACACATACAACCAGATTGATGCTTAAATGAGTGAGGAAATTAGGTTAGTAGTGGGTGGTAAAGGGAGGAAATAATATATAGACCTGGAAATGAAATTGGCACATAAAATAAACTCCTTATGTCACAAGGTGGTAGTGAGATTGGGGAGCTGACCATCTAAGACCCTTCCTGAACTCTGTCCTTTGAATGAAGTGCCTTTAGATAAGGCAACACTCTGGGGAAGCTGCGGAAAGCCATTCACCTCTGTCCTTATCCTGATTCCCTAGGTCCTGGGATGGATCCGCAATGGAGAGTCCATGCTCAACGCCAGCCTGGTCAATGCCAGCTCTTTGTCTGAAGCAGAACAGCTACAGCGGGAGCATGAGCAGTTCCAACTGGCCATCGAGGTAACAACCAAATCTGACTGCACTGCTTTCTGTCCCCCTCTCTGCTCTGTGCCTGGGGCAGCATGATTCCCTGAGGTCGGGTGTTCCTTCAGGTGTGGGAGTCTTTACTCTTTCAGGTCCAGGAAGCTTCCCTCCTACCCAGGTACTGATGGGAAAGTGAGTGCAGGGCTTCATGCCCCCAAGGAGGCCAGCATCAGAAGTCAAGTATGCACACTATGAATGAGAATCTTACTCATCAGGGCCTTCAGCCTTTCAGGGCCCTGGTACTTTGAGATATTTACACATATAGATTATGTGCCAGTTGAGAAACGTAAAGCTAAAAGTTAGAATTTACTTCCAATTGAAAATCCCTCAGACCTAATAAACAAGTGCATGAGTTTCTACTAAATTGGGATCATATTTTTTTTTATCGTATTTCTAACCATTTAGTTTATAGAGTCCATCTTCTAACAAGGACAACCAGCATTGGAGCAGATCACACCCGTCTGCCTTGCTAAAGTGGTTGTTCAATAATGCTGGTAGAAGTTATATTTAGGGAGTAAACTGCAACTAGAAGATGTTACCAACTGGGACCATTTTAAAATGAAAGCCTATTTTAAAATAAACTCCACTTATAACAATCTAATATAAATGTTGCCATGCTTTAAATAATACCTTTAATTGTCCTTTCTATTAGGACATCCTCCTTCCCAAAGAGACTTAAGCTGATTGCTTCACAGTGGTTTGAGGAAAGAATAGGAAATGGGACATGAGAATTGTATTAAAAATAAAATAAGTTCAGTACCAGTGGGAATAGAGACAAAGAGTGAAAACTTCAAAGACACTCATTATTCTGTGGTTCATCATAGAAATTAGCCCACTTCTGAGTAAGAGCTACAAAGCTGTTATTTTTAAAAAATTATTGTTAGTGGGTATTTTGCACAACAGTAATGGAAAAATAGTAAAAATTTAACTGTCTGTGCCCATACTATGCCTTTAATGCAGTAATCCAGCTGATTGCTAAGCATTTTAAAACTAAATATTGATTGAATTCAACTATTTAATTTTCCAGAAATCATCTTGTTTGCATAAATAATAATATTAAGATGAATGACATGTTACTATAAGATACTTGATAATCTTCTTAGAAATGATTATTAGTCCTAAAAGTATGGTCTGGGATTTGAGATTTTAAAATAAACTATATGTTTTATGCACAATATGGGAAAAATCACTTTCTAAAGAGAAATTAACCAGAGGAGAGAAGTTTTATTATCATCAGCTATCTGTATTGCAGTTTGCGGACACAACCAAATGTGGTAGTGCTGGGACCTAATCACTATAAAGGAAAGATCAGGATTGGGGTAATAATCAGGCACTCAGTGGTCAAGTTTCCACTAGGGCATAGGAAGCAGTGAGGGTTGGGCAATCAGACCAGAGGCAAGAGAAGCTGTGAGGGAGATTAGGCAGAGACAAAGCCACTCTTGGCCTCTTATTTTTCATGAATGAGAAGGTTTACATGCTTTGTCAGATGATTAAATTTCTAGTCCCTTAAAGAAATGTTAAGCAGGAAAGACCAAGTGTTATGACACACCTGAGCATCTTAGTGAGCTGGCAAGAAAGAGCAGGTAGATGAGCCATGTGTGGTGGTGCATGCCTGTAATCCCAAGGACTCTGGAGCCTAGGAAGACTGCAGTTCAAGGCCAACCTCAGCAACTTAGTGAGTTCCTGTCTCAAAATAAATAATTGTTTAAAATGCCTGAAAATGTAGATCAGTGGCAGAGTACCCCCTGTGTTCAATCCCCAGAACTGGGAGGAAAAAATAAAAAGAAGAAGAAGTAGGTAAATGCTTTCACAGTGCTATTGAAATGACTAAATACCACACAGCTGCATATGCAGTATGTATTAATTTCTTTCAGATGCTGCAGTATCCTTGCAGCACAGAGGCTTGTCAAATGATTAAATTATGATTAATGCCTCCCAATCAGTCCTAGGTTTCTATATTGGTAAAACTTGATCAATTAGTCTTTAGAATTTATACTGAGATATAGCAACTCTAAAGTTGGTGTCTGTGGTCTCAAGAGGGCAGAGCAGAGCAGATAGGATTTCTGGAAGATCTTAGGAATGGGAGGTAGGCAGGGTCTTCAGTATGGTTAGAATAACAAGAACAGAACCAGAATTTCAGCATATGCTTCTTCTCCAGGGGGTCTATGTAAGGTTCTGCATCAGGAGGAAAATATGCCAGGGAGGATGAAGGCAATTTTAAAGGAAGTCTAAGTCTGGTTTGGCTTACCCCATTTTGAGAGTATTATTGGAAGCTTTTATAATGATTGCTAATAGCAAATAGGATTTGACTTAATAGACCCTAAGAAAGAACCTGGGGTTCTGTAAGGGAAAATAAAATAGCTATTGGTAGGATGATCATATAATTTATTGTGTAAACTGAGACACTTTTCAAAGTGAAGAGAATTACTAAGTCAGAAGAACAGACATAGAGTAGAACTGTCCTTTATAAACCCGGATGTCTGCTAACCCTAGTTTGGGCAACCTCCTTGGGTTGAAGGTTTCAGTCTCTCCAGGGAAGATCAAAATTTTTCTCAGAAGCCTTGGTTTCAGTAAATCTTTCCCAGAACCACTCAGAATGGACAGAAGTACTCAGCACCCAGGTGCAGTAAAGCTCTATCAAGCAAACCTAGATTATTATATGTTAATATCAATAGAGGCAGCTGATGTTTCTTCAGGAACTTCAAAAGAAAAGCTCATTTTTAAAATCCATTTTTACTTGAAATCCTCTTATGCATTTTAAGTATAAACATTATGCCAAAAAAAAGTAGCTAAAACTAGATAATAAGAGCAATTGATTCCATTCAATTTTCTTCTGCATGCTCCTAAATATGAATGCCCTTGATAATCCTTGTCTTAAACATATAACACACAATGGGATTTGATAATAGGGAGTAGAAATAAATGCAAAATAATGATTTAAGCTTAGCGAAGCAAAGATTATGCCACATAGATAAGAGTTTATTATTTAGGAAATTAAAGGGGGAAAGAAGTTCTCAGGACTATTAAATGATAATGAGTTTCAGAGTAAGGAAGAGAATTTATTTTATACCATAACTTATAGGAAAATCCAGCCTATACCTCCACTCTCAGAGAAAGGCATGATAACAGGTTTATGATGACAGTTACATGCTGGTTTAATGTATTGAGGAAAAGCCATATAATTACCATAATCACTAATGTTCATCTTGTGAACCCTTCTTCCAAATGAGAACTACTATAGTTACCATTATATTCCTAGAGATAAGATGATGTGGTATGATATAGTAGAAAGGACATAGGTTTGGGAGTAGATGAAACCTGAGTCTCAATCCTGGGTTCATCACTTCCTTGGTTGTACATTTCTGGGCACTCTGCTTTTTAATCTCTGAGATGGGAGTAGTAATATCCACGTTGTAGTAGTGTTGGGAAAAGTAGAAAATATGCGTAAGCGTAATGCCCAGCACAGAGTATGTACACTAGATAAATGACAGATGCTTAAATGATTTTCCAAACTGCCCTTGCTTTGAGAGTTTTACAGTCTAAGTAATGACCAAGGGTTAGATGAGTGACATAGGAGTAGGGTCATTTTTCTGTGAGTCTCAGATCATCTAAAAAGGCCTGGTTGAGGAGAGCAGACCTTAGGTGAGTCTCAAAGGAAAGCTAAGACACTGCCTTAGGAGGATACAGAGGGTATCCATCATGGCAGGAAGAAGGGAGGTAGCAAAGGGAGGTAAGAAAGCTTGTGGTGTGTTTGCAGAGGCGTTGCAGGGGAAGCAGTAGGTGATAATGTTATAGAAGTAGCTAGGGCCAAATCGTAATGTACTTTTAATGACAAATACCAAGTTTGGACTTAATTTCATAGCAATGGAGGAACCATGGTAAGGCTTTTGAATTAAGAGAAGGGAGTGATATTTAGCATAAAATGAGAGCTTTAGAGATAGAAAGAATGTTAGATGTCACTTATTACAAACACTTCCTATTACAGAGAATTAAGCAAAACTGCCATATAACTTCAATAGCTTAGTGATCAAAATAAATGTTTAGTATGCTTGCAGCCCTGAGTTCAATCCCCAGCACACCACCAACACACACACACACACTCACGCATGCACGCACGCACACACGTGAAGGATGGATTTGGTAAATTAGAAAAGAAAACTACTTAGGTCACCCCCCTAGCAGTCTGTGTATGAAGTAGTAATGGCTGGACTGGGTGGGATGAGGGAGTAGGGCTCAGTAGTCATGAATAATATCAAAACTGCAATCCCAAGTGGCAGGGGAAAGTGGAGTATCAACAGAAGTGGTAGGTGAACAGGGAAAACTGTTCACAGAGAAGAGGAGTTCAGTTTCCACTGTGGAACTCGAGGAACTGAAAGCCCTTCCCACTCACTGACAAGGGCCCCTCTGTTCTCTAGGAAGATCATTCCCTTTGCTGAGAATGTGTCTTTGTAGCAGACTGACATGGGACAGGCAGTTAGACCAACCGAATGAGTGCTGCTCACAAATTGAGGTGTGTGCAGGTCATGATGAGGTAATAGAAGCCCGGGGAATAGATCAGAGCTCTGCTGGAGTGAAGGAAAGGCAAGGACTGACCTTAGCACCTCTGCATCTAGGAGCAGGGAAAAGACAGTGCCAGTAAACCAGGCATAGAAAACCAGGGATTTGTAGTGTATCATTTCTGCCTTTAGTGTTGATTCTCTGCTTTCGTTCTCAGTTGGGAACCTGATGCCGCCACAGGACAGAGGGACAGTGGAAAGGCCACAGCACCATGGGGTCTGGATTGCTAGAGGAGGTCATTCTAGGGAGCTACTGCAGATTCAGGAACGAGAAAAGGGAAGCCAGAAGGGGTCCATAGACTGTGGAAAAGGAGTGTATGGACTGCAGTCTGCAGTGTGGGCGAAGGGCAAATGTGGGAACCCAGGGGAGCGCAGGTGAGAATGAGGGAGGGCCTACCCAGACCCAAGCAGTGCTGAATGGATTTGCTCTTGAGAACAGTCTCAGTCACTGTCCCTTTTCACTTCTGGCTAAGTTGAATCCTCCTAAAAGTACAAAAGCCAAATGAGTACTATACCACTAGGCCAGAATGACCCCAGAGAGATAGGCAGCAGTGCTGTTATCTCTTTCAAGTCACTTGGGCTCTGAAATTCTCACATGGATCATCCACACCAGGACTCTGTTTTTAGGAAAACTCCAATCCCATTTGGTTCCTCCCTGGCACCCAGTCCTCCAGCCTCATCCTACCTTGTATAGTTAGCGTGAACTCAGAGAAGGCAAACTATATTTAGCCTGTTTCAAAAAGCATTAAGAAAAAATATATATGTAAATATCCTAAAAGCAAATGTAAAAAAATGTGAAGATCACGGGTTGGGCTGAGTTATCTGCCATACGACTCTGCTTCTTTGGTTAAGTAACTAAGGGAAGATGTGAGAGGCTGCTCTCTAGCTTTATTAACCTGCCAAATTTATTCCTTTTACTATAATCCTTTTCAACTGGTTAATGTTTAAAATGGCTATATCATAATCTGAAATTTATTTTACATGGAGTTTTTTTGGGTTAATATGCTATATTTACTTGATCTATAAAATGGGACTGCAGCAGGGGGAAAAACTTCTTTGAAAGCTTAATGGTGAACCTTTTCATAATTAGATTTGAAAAGGAAACTTAATGTACCAGAGAACAGACTTACATGCAACCTGTTTCTCTACCACAGGATCAGAATGTCCTTAAAATACAGGGTAATGCAATTAAAAAGTAAGGTCTGGGATGGAAGTTAAGGTCCTGAGAGACCAGTTAATGAAAATGTATGATATCCTTTTAAAAAATATGCTTTAAAACAATACTGTATTAATCTTCATGACAAAATGGATCAGTCATTTAAAGCACTTTAACTTTTCTGCATCTTTCCACTCACGCCTCACTCCACCCCCTCCCATACCACGCCTGGGTTGTTCCCACGGACCTCTCTCTCCTCCCCTTGTGCCCAGTCCCTCTTTCATGCCACTTCCTTGCAGAAGACGCACCAGAGTGCCCTGCAGGTACAGCAGAAAGCCGAGGCACTGCTCCAGGCTGGCCACTATGATGCGGACGCCATCCGGGAATGTGCAGAAAAGGTGGCCCTCCACTGGCAGCAGCTCATGCTGAAGATGGAAGATCGGTTAAAACTGGTCAACGCATCTGTGGCCTTTTACAAAACTTCTGAACAGGTGAGGGAAAGGTGAGAGGCGTGTGCGCTGAGGCTGACAGAGGGCTGCTTTCTGCTTCACATTGCAACTCTGCAATTCGACTCCAACAAGGAGCCAGTCCTCTCAGCACAAACTTGGAGAATAAAAGAATGACGTGTGGAAACACCACAGTTGGCTTCCTTATCATCTTTTTCATTATGGCAGTGAACCATGTGATTTATTTCTCAAACTCATCATATCTGTACTGAGGTGTTAAAACAGAAATGAGGTGCATACTAAATGCTAGATTTGAGCAATGTATCAGTCAGCTCTTGACACAGTAATGCCTTATAACCAACTGCCTTAAAACTCACTGGCATAAAACAAAAAGCATTTATTTTTTGCTTGAGTATCTGGGGTTCAACTAATCTTAGCTGAGCTTGGTAGAGCGAGGTTCCAAGCTGCAGTTTGCATCCAAGGATGCTCCTGTGTTTCTCACCCTCTTTGTCCAGCAGCTACTTGAGGCACATTTATAGTTAAAGACAGAAAGTGCAAGAGCCCAAAACCTACTGTGTAAGAACATCTCAAGACTTTACTTCTGTCACATTCTCCAATGTCCCATTAGCCCTAACAATCACATGGCCAAGCCATCAGTGAGGCAACAATGCCTCCAATGAAATTCTGGAGAGGAAAATGAATATTTACTTAACAATAATATAATCTTCTGCAACTAGTCATTATGCACTGCTTGAAAAACATATGACCCTGCCATTCCTGGGGTTTCCAGCCTATTTGAGGAAACTCAGCTCTGTCCTTGGGGAACTGTGAGCCTAAGTGGTTAAGAGAGTGCAGCAATGAGAGAAGTGGCAGGAGATGCGTACAGCAGGGCCCTGAAGATGCAGATATGTTACCATTACGTCAGTACATCAATATGGGCAAGGCCTAAGGATATTTTTTAAATGATTTGGGTGCTATACAGGAATTCTTTTCATGAAATAGAGGCTTAAAGCAGGACTAATTTTATTCAGTGTAAAATAGTTTTCTCAGTGAACTACTCCCTAGCAGAAATAAATAAAAAATAAATTCCCCTGGGCTGGGGTTGTGGCTCAGCAATAGAGTACTCATCTAGCCTGTGCGAGGCCCTGGGTTTGATCCTCAGCATCACATAAAAATAAATAAATAAATAGGTATTGTGTCCAACTACAACTAAAAAATAAATATTTTAAAAAAATACATTTCCCCTCTGGATGACTTATTGGGACCATGGGAAGTCTGCCTTGGGGCAAAGAAAACATGCCCATCAGAGCCTATACCAGTGTTATAGTTCACATACTTCATGTTTCTTATGTTTTTTTCAGAGAGATTATGCTTTTGATGGCCACAGAAGTGACAGCAGCAGATTAAGATGATAGAACTTCTCCAGTTGATCTATAATCAACACAATCCAAATCAAATCCCAGCAAGCTTTTTTGTAGAAATTGACATACCAATTCCAGGATGTCCATGGAAATAAAATGCACATGAAAAGAATGCAAATTCAAAGAACCTGGCATAGCCAAAACAATCTCAAAAGGGAAGAACCAAATTTGGAGGAGTTACACTACCTGATTTAAAGATTTACTCTAAAATTTCAGTGATCAAGACAGAATAATATTGTTATAAGAACAGACACAATGGAATAGAATGGAGGTTATAAAAGTTGACACATTTATATGGGTGTTTGATTTTTGTCAAAGCAATTCCATGAACAAAGGAAAGTCTTTTCAGCAATTGGCACTACCCAAATGAATGTCTATATGGGAAAAAATGAGACTTAATCCCGATCTAATGTACAAATTTCCATTTTAGATGGATCAAGATCATGAAGGGGACAGAGTACTATTTAAGAGTCAGAAAATCTGACCCTGAACTGACCTTGCTGAAGGTTACTTTATTTCTCTAGATTTGTTTCTTCACCTATGAAAGGATTTATACTTGATAATCATTTCACTTTTAACTTCCACATTGATTGGCTGTAAGTCCAATCTTATCATGGGACAGATCTCAAGTAGTCTTATTCTTAATGTCTTTGTATGTCTATAATCTGTTTTATCCCAAGACAAGAGCCTGCCTGTGCATATTTAAATGTCTTTCTTGAAGACAAGTACTAGAGATGGGACTAGACAAGCAACCCAGGATTTAGGAACAGACCATCTCATGATATGAGAAACATGTCTGGCCATGAGAATGTTCTGCCTGAGACATCTTTCAGCTTAGTTTATAACTCAGTGAGCATCCTGTCCAATGATATAAATCCTTCATCAAAAGTGATGGCTTTCTCAGAGGAAGCCAAAGACAGTTTTAGCTGCTCCCCCAGTTGCTATATCCAAGCAAGTAGTCAAAGTCTATTGAAGGAAAGCAGGAATTTAAGTTTCGTCTTTCTGAATCCTCCCTTAGTCCCTGATACCAGACCTCTTTGAATTTCCCACTGTAGGACCCAACCTAACTTTCTCTTCAAACCCCCTTCAAAATGCTCTGTTCTCTCCTGAGGTCATTTATAAAGTCCCCCAGCATGGCTTCTCCACACTTTTAGAACTGAAAGTCTTCTTAACTGTCTTTTAGGTTAACTCAAATTTATTTTCCCTGTGAAGAAAATGTGCATTTTGCAATAGGGAGCCTTCAGATGTCACTGCCTTATGACAGGACTTTGGGACATTTTTCCCAGGGGAAGAGAAAGAGGACTTTCATTCATGGCTCATAAATCACACAACAGTGGCAACTTCCTTCTTTACCTCTGCTCAAGGCTCCTTACTACAGGATAAGCGCAGATGGTTGGAAATTGAGCATCTTCTCAAAATTCCATTTCCTGTTCTATAAATTCACAGTTATTGTGAAGTTATACCAATATTAAATATATAAAAACGTTGAAATGCCTCCAATATACTATCTACCTTCCTGTTTTTTCTACTTCATACTATTCCTTGGTAATGTCATCAACCCCCATAGCTACAGCCTTCTACTATCAACTCTAAGAAGACAATCCCCAAATCCATATCTCCAGTTGAAGATTGTCTCTCAAGCTCCAGACACAGGATTCTCACTGCCTTCTGGACTTCTCTTAGACTCTTAGGTGCCCCAGGGTCACCACATACTCTAAATTGACAGACTGAATTTTGAATGAAACATGTCACTGTGTGGAATTCTGTGGGCTGAAGGTCCTCAAAGAACACTTCCTAACTGATTAATTTACTGAGTGTTTCTCTCCATGATTCATTAGGTATGCAGTGTTCTGGAGAGCTTAGAGCAAGAGTACCGAAGAGATGAGGACTGGTGTGGTGGAAGAGATAAACTGGGGCCAGCAGCAGAGATCGACCATGTTATCCCCCTCATCAGCAAACATTTGGAACAAAAGGAGGCTTTCCTTAAGGTCAGAGCACATTTTCACATAAACTCTCAGACTCCAGTCTGTTCTTTCAATATGTAGGTGCTCTCATGCACACATGCGTGCTCTCTCGCGCGTGTGCGCGCTCTCTCTCGCTCTCTCTCTCACACACACACACACACACACACACACACACACACACACACTTGTTTCATATGGGCCTCCCAGCCCCCTGCTTTTGCTAACTTCTTATCTACAGGGCAGAGAGGTTGTAGAGAAGATGTTGACTGGTCAGTTGCAAAGGTAGTAGGGTTATTCTTCAAGCATTCATTTCTCTCTCAGCACTTTTGGTATCATTGGGCAATTAGGATATAACATTACTACTGTTGCCATATTTCAATATCCTGATATCCTGTGGATGTTGTTAACTGAGAAAAATATACTCAGTGGTTTGGTTTATAAAATTACTTTTTGATTAAAAGATAGAAAACACTTAAAATGTATAAAACACTATTAAAAATACTTTATAAATAGATGATAATCTATTTATGATCCTTTATAAAAGGTTAGGGTAAGAATTAAGCAAATAAATTTAGACACCATGTTTATTTATCAGTCTAGCAATTGTCAATTACCAATAAAGGCCATGCTATTTATTCTCCTGTATGAAGGTAGAATACCTTTCCTGGACTTAGAGCCTGAGCCTCCCAGGGAGGAAGCACAGCCGTGCTGTGCACAGGCTTTCAATGGAGCAGGAAGATCTTTGATATTCTCTTAACCATCTGTATCCAGGCTAATCTAAAGTCTCTGTTCATTCCTAAATTTCTTGCTTTCATGTTCTACTTCCTCTCAGGTAAGCACAAGAGAATGTTTATACCCTCACAGACTGCCACTGTTTTTATGCAATTCTATAATTAACTGCCTTTCTTTTATTAGGGATTTTCTCTATTTGACCACCTTTTGGAGTTATATTTTTTGTTCTTTTTAAAGATGGCCTTCTCCCATCTGTCTAGTATCTGAAGCTATACTGGTTAGAATCTTTAGTCATCAGGAATAGGAATTTTTCCATGCTGGGCTTAAGATAGTTTAAAAAATTTTCCCTATTTTAAAACAAAACAATTTAAGTAGAGCATATCAAGGATTTTAAATACAGAGATAAAGGTATTTACTCATAAAATTAAACATTTCTTTTGAAGAAGAAAAACAAAACTTTTCTGGGCTGATATTTTTCATATGTTCCCAAAATTATAGAGAAAAACACTCCATCGCTGTGGGAATTCTGTGCCCAACAGACAGAATGTTACACTCTGTTTGTACACATTAGTTGATCCATTTCAGATTCTTTAGCTTTAGACTACCATTAAGCTATCAAACTTATGTGCCTGAGAGTTCGTGGACCCATCAACAGACTTCTACCAAAGATCCCAGAAGTTTTTGTTGCTAATTTTTATATAATCAAAAAATTATATGGTTTTAGAATTATATTAATCATATGTTAGTTATAGAACAATTTTAATCATATAGTTTATAGGATCTGAGGCTAAGTATAAGAAGGTTTAAAACTTAACAATTTGGTCTAGAGGTAATTTAATTCTGGAAACTTGTAGATTAAAAATTAGTATACTAGCATGTTACTTTTATAAACAGGAGAGTTAAAACTTCTTTTCAGAGAAATCCAGAACTATATAAGCTTGAGAAACTAGAAATACTCTGTCAGTAGACCTAAATTCTAGATCTGCTTGTGCCCTTTCTGGGCCTCAGTCTTGTCTATCAGTATAACAAGGAGAATGTGACCTGTCCTCTCTGCCCCCACAACTGACTTGAGTCTTAAAGGCTCTTAAAGTCATAATGGTTCTTATTCTGTTACAGAGATCAGTGTTTTCCAATAATAGAAAGTTTATTGGTGATTTTAGGTAAGGGATGGATAGACATATGAATTTGAAAAATGCAGGTAACAATTTCCATTTAGATTTAGAATGTAGAGTTAATAAGCGTGTTTACAAAAAAAAAAAAAAAAAAAAAAACTTCTCCAAGTCTGAATCAAACAAATGTTAAAGAGGGCTTATGTTGCCTGGACTTTCACCAGTGGTCATCATAAGAAGTATTCCAGTGGAAAAGGAAAACCAGCCTGGGAGTAAATGTTAGTAATGCCAGATCAACCTACAGGTAGTCAAGGGATTTTATTGATTTCTGATTTTTATCTTAAATGGAAAGAGGACAGGCACAGATAAAAGGAAAGCTCAGAGCACGAGCCTATTAAATTGGAATTGGACCATCCATGTACCAGAAGTGACCTCTAGAGCTGTTCTCCCACAGGACTCCTCCAGCATCCTCATGACTGTCAAGCCCTCAAGCTTCCTAAAAAGTGGAAGGAGGGCACCCCCCTCTGGTGGCTAGAACACCAGACAGTTGCTGGGGACAGGAGCACCTCACACCTTTGTGTCTCTCAGGCCTGCACCCTGGCACGGCGGAACGCTGAAGTATTTCTCAAGTACATCCACAGGAACAATGTCAGCATGCCCAGTGTTGCTAGCCATACTCGAGGACCTGAGCAGCAAGTGAAAGGTCAGTGAGAGGCCTACCAGGCCTCAAGTTATTTCACTAGCATGGACAAGAGGCCAGCCCTTCCCTACACTGTGCTGTGGACCTAGTATTCATGTTATTTCAAATTTCCTGATTCTTTTCTTAGAGAAGAAAAAAATCTGATGTGGGATGGTGTGGGCACTGGTGATTCATGGTCAGTTTCTTAATATGCATCAAGATTCTGAATGGAAAAATGAGGACAAATTTTCCCCAAACTTTTAAATAGTATCTTAAAGCTCGGGCTATACTGCGTAGTAGAATTTTCTGAAATAATGGAAATGTACAATATGGTAACCACTAGTCACATGTGCCTATTGAGCACTTAAGATATGGCTAATGCAACTGAGGAACTAATATTTTACTTTTATTTAATATTAATTAATTTAAATATAAATAGTCATATGTGACTTGTGCTGACATATTGAATAGCACAAGACTGGGTATCTTAACCCCTGGCAATGAGGCAAGAACTGGGAATCATAAAACCAAGATCTAACTGTAGAGTTGTCACTTATTGCCTAAACTTTAAAACTTTAGTTTTCTTATTTAAAGTGGGGAGAATGTCTAGGCTCTTGCTTCTGAAAAATGTGGTCCCAGACTAACAGCATTGATATAACTGTATGACTCTCAGGCCCCAACCAAACCTACAGAGTCAGAACCTGCATTTTGGCATGACTTATCCCATCCACCATGTGGTTTGTGTGCAAGTCAAATTTATATAACTAATATTCTAGATAAATTGTAATATCTCTCTGAATTCTATAAAGTCTGTGATTATATGAAAAAATTATATAACCTTTAAAAATTGCTTATTATCTGATCATATTAAGCTCAAGTTATTATCTGTTACTACCTTAAATTATTACTCTAGCCATGCACAAATTAGCCTTTGAGTAGATGACAAGTTTAATACATGTCCACTTATAAAAGCAGACAAATACAACCCTGGATGGAGGTGGGTAGGGAAATCCAAGCTGACTTGGAGTGAGGAGTGTGACAAGCTTGAAGACACCATGAACAGAATAGGGATGTGTGACCTGCTTTAGATAGGGCTTTCTGCCCTGCTCAGAGAGCTCAAGAGCTGGGAAGATCAAAAGCCACTGAAAAGAATTAAACTTAGGAACCAAAGTTCCCTACAGAGAGGAGGGACACACAGTTCCTTTTCCAGCTATGTTATTCTGTTTTTGATTGAGGGACCCTGTGGGTGGCTGACATCATGTCAACCACTCCTTAAAGCACATTTCAGTTCTCGGCAGACACAACATAAAA